GCATACCCGAACGAGGAGTTCCCGTGGTAAAAAATGACTCGTTGTTTCCAACTAATTTCGTTTCATTCGCAATTTGTATTCAAAGGTTGCCCGAGTAAAATTTTACTCGAATAACGCCCAACCGTTGCTTGTTGCTAGCGGAGAAAGAGAGGAATGCGACGCGGTGCGGTCGCAACATCAAAGGAACGAAGGAACAAGACGGCGAGCAGTTTAGCTACGAGCTAGCAAACACGTTAAACCTGGCAAAAGCTTCGTGGCCTATGGAGAAGGCATTGTTCGAACGCACTCCCATCGCGAAAGAAAGGATCCCATTCTTCGTGAAAACTGTGAATTCGATCGTGGGAATCGTTCGATATTTTTTCCGCGACGAACATTTTTTACGTCATTATTTGTTTATTTAGGAAAATAAGCACCTGCTGAAAATACAGCTTTCTACACGGTAAAAGCTGTTAACGTTTAAGCCGACTCGAAAGAAAATTTATACGCTGTTCGGGTAAGAACGTTCTCGTATTTTATCACAGCTGGCTCGAGTCAAAGCGAGCTCGACTGAATTCTTATTCATCAACTTACATCGTGATTTATCTTCCGTGCGATCTTTGTTTCGTGGAACAATGAGAACGATAAGAAACAAGGTTCCTCGAAACGAAGTGTTCGCTAAATCGCAATTCGAAAGAATATACTGGCAAGCAAGGTTATATTTCAATGCAATTAAAAGTGTATTAACGTGTTGCACGATGATCTCACGCTTCAGCGATCTAATTTCTTATTCCTCGACTCTTTAACGCTCTTCGTTCGATCTCCTCTTTCAACAGTTTAGATACTATTACTTTTCCAACGCTACGCCAGTAACTATAGGATTTCCTTCAACATTCTTTTCACGAAATTGCTTTACACGAAAAAGGCAAATACCGCTAACTACGAGTACCAAAGTTCCCTCGGAAAATGAAATAACGTTCGAACGACGCGATACTTGGTTGACAAATTGATCGAATCCGAACGTAGGCAAACGAGAACATAATGGCTCGTAATCGAAGAGAATAAAGAAGGAATAGAAAGAGAAAAAAGATTGATCGATGTACCGCGGTCGAATCGAGGCGTATCTACGCTTATGAATTTATTAGCCGTCGGCGGAATTGGTCGTTCGAAGGTTCGTACAAAAGCGACAAACTCCATTCTACGGTAAGAACGTGGCGAGAGAGGCAACGCAACATTCCAAGGAGAAGAGAGCGGGCACTCACCTCTGCTTGTGGTCTCAGCTTCTGCTTCGACGAATGGCCTCACGGCAGTCAGCATCCTCCGTTTCTCGTCCTCCTCGTCCTCGTCCTCATCATCATCCCCCTGTCCTCCCCCAACCTCCTCCTCCCGCGAGTTATCTGCTTACCACATTCTGCGTACACGCGTAATCGAACACTATGCCCTGCAACGGTACGGCTAACATTAGTTTCAACGTCGAAATATCAATTAATTTCAACGACTGTTCGTTCCAGAACAGAGGGATTCTGTTTCATATATCTAATCGTGACTCTCTAGATATTTACAATCTGAAGTTATGCTTTTCTCGAATCGTTGCAACCCTTCTGACCAAGCAGCACGTATGTTACGTGGAAGTAATCGCGACTACCAGGGTATTTACGGCGTAAACTTATAGTTTCCGCGATTATAATCCGAACAGACCGATGTCGAGTCAGAAGGCTTAATTAAATCGCGAATCTCTTGCCAAAAAGTATTGCTATGTTTACTTCAGATACGAGGAAATGGTAAAATCCATTAAGGAATAAGATTTCGTGGGTTCATATTTCAGAAATGTCGATAAAATCGAGTCTTTTGATTGGTTTAGCGTCGAGACGATCGAACAGCCGTTTCCTCGACGCGATCGAGCGCTAACGACACGAGAGGAATTCGAGAGTACGCCCACCATAGAAATGCCTACCTGCCCGAGTCGTTCTCTCTCGAGGTTATGAGTCACGAGGCCGTCGCACGCTTTGCTAAATATCTCAACATTTTGTCACGCGTTGTTCTCCCCTTAATCACGGCACGTTCGGCGAGCCTCACGTTTTATGTGCCCTATTTGTTCGAGGAATCAGGTAATGCTACACAGTAGTTCACTGTTTACCGATTACGTTGCTATACATTCGCGCTCTTACCGACAACGAAAGGGAAACAAAATTCGCCACGTGTACACCCGAATGCACCGTTTATTTCTCCATTTGCTCTCGATCTTAGCGAAGGAGAACCTATGGAAATCTTACGACTATACTTTAGATCCTAGAACCTACGACAAATCTGATAGCTCAAGGAATCCTAAGCTCTAGGAAAATTCTATGTTGTTGGGAAATCCTCGGTTGTACAAGAATCCTGAGGTCTTTACAAATTGTTAGATCCAGCAAAAGTTTAGAGAATAGAGATAATTTTAGTAAAGCTTACCGTAGTCGAAGAGTGCCGTACGTAGGAGGAAATGCTCGACAACGAAAGTTCAGAAACGATTGGCCCGTTCAACGAATACTTTATTTCACTGCACTTACTTCACGCACATATATGTATAAACTTCTTTTGATAGGACACACGAAACTGTCAAATATCGAGACACGCACTTGATCAGACTCCCACGGACAACTGTATGCCGTTAGGAGAAAATTTTATCCTTTAAAACTCGTTCTCGTCGAACGATATTCGTCGATCGAACTCGATGTTACGTTATCGAAACACAATTACTAAAAGTTAGCTCGAACAAAGTGCAAAGTCTGGAACGCGAAACAATAGAAAACTGAAAACGTTTAAACAAATAATATGATCTACCGAAACGAAGATGAAATATAGTTTTTCCGACAAAAACATCGGTTTGCAATTTCCGACAAAACTGATTAAATTTTGAGGACTTTGCGATCGAGAAATACTATTTCGCGTGTAAATACCGTTCGCGAAACGCAAACATGGCTCGAAAAAAACTTGCAACGTTTTATTTACTTTTAATTAACGGAGTATAATATAGATAAAAACCGTTATCGGTCGGGCATCGACAAGGTGCACCGTTAACTCGTGAAATTCTCCATATGCATCGGTTAGTTTCAATTAACGAAACACAATGGTTCTTCACCTTGGTATATCGTATACGTAAATGCGGTTCGATATCGTGTACGCGTTCGCAGACGATAATATCGTGAGAAGATTCGTTCCACGAATCACTGAACATTCGTAAAAAGTTTCACTGGCAGCGTCCGTAGATCATCGCGAGGAGGATGCTATTCGAAGAGAAAACCGTTCTCCATCCTGGTATCGAAGTTGAAATTACAGTGCGATCCTCAAACTCTCCTTCAGTTCGCGAACACTTTCGACCGTTCCCAACAAAACGAGTCGATAGTTTCTCTCACGCAACGCCATCGTCTTCGAAGAACCAACGAGTTTACCGACTATGCGATACACAGGAACAAAAGTCTCCTAAACTTCGCGAAGATACAGCCGCTACATTTAACCAGTCACGTATCCGATCGAACGACGGTGCTTTTAAAGATCACTGTACACGCTCGCGAACGGCTGATACGAAGATTAATCGAACGAGGAAAAACTGCTTTCTATATCGGAGAAGATGATCAGAAATAAATTGTTGAAATTCGATGAAAGATCGATGAATTTGTGAGAGAAAAAGACCGCGATGAACCACGCACGACCGTCGTGAAAGCGACACGACACTGGATGAGAACGGGCAACAGGTTCGTCGAGTTGCCCTGAGGAACGTGACGACGGTATGAACAGGAGGGGAGGAAGTTAGGTACTGGCCAGGTAAGCCAGTACCGCCATTGCTCCTGGCGCAGCATCCACCGATTTGCAGTGGCGTAAACACACCCGATATTCCGCCACAAAGGAGATTCCCTGCCACGTCGATTTGCTTTACACAATTTATACGTTGCTCCCTGCCTGATCAAGGTTCCCGCCTCCCGCTGCTGTTCCCTTCGCGACACGCTCCAAACTGTAAAATGTCTCCTCGAGACTCGACCACACGGATGCGTCTCACGCGAAACGTTTATCGGGAACACTGGAAGGTTATCGCGTAAATTATGGGAACTTGACGCTTTCGGTAGAACTTCCTACACTTTTATGGGCTGAGGCCCACTTTCGGAAACGCGGATTCTTCGCATTCCACTGGCATATATCGTATTATTCTCCACGACTCTGAAATTCCAAACGTATACACGATTCCCAAAACCCTAAAGTCTAAAGCTTCAAAAATTCCAAAGTCCCCGAACTCCAAAACTGATTCTGAAATTAATAGAGTCATTCGCTCCAGACTCTCACAGGCTCTGCGACGTCACCGAGTACTGTTGCATGACTTTATTTTACATAAAATTTTCGTGTTCAAATTCAATTGACGTATTTAGAGTTTACTATGTTAAGTAATATTTTCTTGCAAGCTATTACATTAATATAAACTTTGGACGAAATTCTGATTACGCCACTGCAGCAACAGGTTGCCGCCAATGAGAACCGTCGTGAATGGGCGCATATGGTCCGTTTGATAGCAACGCGACTTGCCACTATGAACAAACAAGGCGATCTTTTAAAGAATCTTTCGAAATCCCATTATGAATTAATATTTCGCATAACTGATTCGTTAAATTCAATTTTACCAATTGGTTGTAAAATATAATTACATAAATATAGAAGAAATACAGATATATACGTGTAATAATTATTACACGAAATGGAGAAGAATTAAAGTATACTTGAAAATTCTATCTTCGCTGTTTCGTTATCGCGTATATGACTAATTATCGTGTCTCTATTAATCATCAAACATAGCAATTAATTTAGCGCCATAGAATCAGTGGTGGTTCGAACATTGTTTGAAGCTTATTTAAATTACAAATCACGAGCATGCATTTTTTCGATAATTTTAAAGTGTTATCTAAACGACATGATCTTCCATGCAAGGTGAAAATGCAAAATTGAAATCAGTCGGCAGAGAAGAAAAAGAAAACAAGCGCGTCATCGCGTAAAAATGTCGGTTAACAAAGACCGAGGCATAAAAATAACGTCGAACGTGATGGACAGTGTGAAATAAAACCGAAGGATTTAAAAGTCTGAGAACCTCTGAAAGAACAGTGACGCATACGCCCGTCTCGGGTCAGTACTTAGTTTGATCGCAAGGTGGAAGCACGATATTCGTTTTGTCTGCTCAAAGTACTGTCAAACATGAATATTCATCCCATAAAATCGCGTTGGATTCCGAGCAAAGGATTGGTAAAAAAAGCAGCACGGTAGGTTCGCGAAGAGTACGATGCACCGAACGGATAAGAGGAGTTTCTCCCTCTGATGAAAAACAGTCGATATTGACAGCTCCCGCCTCGGTTCAGGATAACCTCTCGGCCCGATCGACAACAGTGACAACTCTTGCCACGTCTTTAGTAGATTGCCCAAAACGCTGTGAAACAAACGATGGCTTGTCTGTTGCTGAATCAAAAAAACGTGCATATCAAAATACCCTCGGCAGATACCGTTGACGGTGTCACATATTATTGCATCGAGGTTAGGGTTGCCTCGATCAAATGGACCGTGAAACACAGGTGAGCGCCTGTCAGATTCTATCGTCGTTTATTTCGGATTTAAATACTCTCGTCTTCAATGATCCTCGTATCTTTCTATTTTTAAATCTTTCGTTATTGAACGCGTGATCTAGGATCAATTTCTTAATTTGAACAAATAGTTCAACTAATGACCCATTTCCTTCGTATCGACCGAAATTTATCCAAGATACGCGATAAACTTGTTTCTGTCAATTTCTTTTTTTAAGATGGGTGTATCGTAAACATACTTTATCGTGAAATTTCTTTAAAATTAAACTGGTTCTAAATGATAATGATAATGATTTTTCAATAAAATTAACAGTATAAAAACCATATTTATTTGTAATGTTATAGGTACAACGATTTTGCAGAGCTCCATGAGAAGCTTGTTTCTGATAACTATGTTAAGAAAGATATATTACCACCAAAGAAACTTCTCGGCAATAAATGCGAAGCTTTTGTAGAGAAGCGTAGACAAAGCTTAGAGCTCTACTTGAACGAAGTTTATAGTTATTTAAAAAAGGCAATGCCCAGAGAATTGGCTGTATTTCTTGATATGCATATATATGATATATTTTTTTTGCTACAGAGTTTGGCTTTAGAATTTTTTGCAGAAGGTGACAGTTTGTTACAAAAGTCCAAGAGTTACAAGTTCAATCCAGTACAGGTAAGGTATAAAGATATAGAAATTTGGAATTATAAGAAATTAGAAATAAGATATATAAAGATTTAGAAATATAAATTGTTTTATAATATAAATGTGAATGTTATGTTTCAGTTGTATGCGATCAGTGAAAGATTGAAGCAGCCCTGCCCATCGCTAGAAGTCGTCGATAAAAAATACGATTTCAGTCACGTTTTGGATTTTAATTCTCATTTAACCAGTCTGATAATCGAAGGGACTTCAGAACCTTATAGAACCAGCAATATTTATTCGTCTGCGCTCTCGATCGAATTATCGACCTTTAAGAACATAGAAGATCTAACAATTGATTGCTATCCTGTAGATAAAATATATCACATGGGCAATCTTAGAGATACAGTAAAATACCTAAAAGTGAACAATACGAAACTCAGAAATATCGTCGAGTTGGCAATGTGTGAAGAAGTACACAAAAACCTCGAAAATGCCAATGACTCACACGTTTGGTTAAAGGTCACTCATCTGGACCTTAGCGATAATCGAATAGAAACAATAGACGAAGCTATCAAATTATTACCTCACATAGAATGTCTCACGTTGAACAATAATCTGCTGTCGGAAATTTCTAACGTCACTTTGCTACCCAGATTATCCCAATTGTACTTGGCGTCGAACAATTTCACTACTCTACCAGATGATCTGCACACGAAGCTAGGATATATCGTGTACATCGATTTGTCTCAGAACAAATTAACGTCGTTATCGAGTTTCTCGAAATTGTATTCGTTGGAGGGATTGGACGTGAGTTGCAATCGCATAGAGAAAATCGAGGAAGTAAAAAATATTGGACATCTTCCTTGCTTGGAACATTTACGGTTGACCGGTAATCCGGTGTCGACCATCGTTGATTACAGAGTAAAAGTGTTAGAGCCATTCGGTAAGAGGGCCGCGGATATTTGCTTGGACAACGAAAAACCTAATCAAAAGGAATTGGACACAGTTTCTGTTCATCAAGCATTACGCATAGCAAGAGAGGGTAAATCACCAACGTTCACCGCGTCCGATGCACCGCTATTCTCTGCAGAAATTCCTAGTATATAGGAACGCATGTAAATTATATTTTTATTACAGACAATAGGTTTCTTACGTGAAAGAATACTTTGATAAGAATTTATACAATTTATCAGAATTTTATCGATTTCCTTGTCTTTGAAGAGGTATTACTGTCAGAATTTGGTCAGCCTCTGATGAATACGTTGTTTTTGGTACAGTGAAGTCCCGCTACAAGTCTGGATGAGACTTTAGCATAGTATAAAAGTGTAGGTAGCGAATCTAAATTGCTTAATTTGAAAATTTAAAAATTGATAAATTAAAAAATCTCGTAACTCTCGAATTTAAAATAATGGGAATTCGCTTAACTAGTGATATAAATGGTGGCAATATAACAAGACTGCACTGTATGAACAAACAGGTAATCTTACAAGCGAACTTCAATCGCTGCTTGAAACGACGAATATCCAAAAGGTCATCGTATTATCTCGCCTTATAGTCCTTTTTTATATGGTATTTGTTGTCGTGTCGGTGCTTTTTATCACCTTTTAACATGATATCCTAATCAGTATAATATATACCAAAACAATAACAAAGTAGTTTAAGCCCGATTGGTATTTATGGTAGTTACAGTAAAATGTTAGAACAACTAATACACACGAGATAAATCTTTGTTCAAGGATAATGTGTGCCACCTACCTGTATAAAAGAAAGAAGACAAAACAAGATTTGTGAGATTCTGCTGTGTACATAATTATTTTTAAATTGTATATTACGTGTTACCATCATATATTTTTTATACGAGTTTGAAATATAAAACAAATCAATTAGATTTGAACGACGACGTATTTATTTGTAATTTATATTGAGAAGAAACTTGATTTTCGTGCAACAATGTAGTGGTTCTTGAATTCAGCTTGATTCACGTGAGAAAAACATGATTCAAGATCGCGAAACGTTAATTTTATGTTACGTTTACCGAGAACCATTGTAACTATAAATTATACATGAATTATTTTAAATGAACGTTATTTATTGTGCATTTATAAATATATATATGTATATGTGCTAAACACATGCATGTCATACGTTTGTCAATGAAAAAGTGGATCAACCAAATCTTTGATACTTTTATTCGATACAGTCTCAAACGTCTATTATCGACATCTGTTATTTATTGGATAGATGTGTAATGCGATATTATTTTAAAAAATGCATCACGTTTCGTGCGTAACAATTTTATAGCGATTTAACTCGAAAATATTCCTGTATATAAGATGAGAGATATTTTGTTAATAAAGAATATTAAATCAATAAACTGTGATAACATGTAGACAGAATTTTTGTTAATTTTTAATTTCACGTCGTCGAATGATAACATTGGCGTAATTAAATATTTAATTACGTCAGTTGAGGGCAGCAGGATATCAACAATAAAAAAGAAAACTGATCTTTTATCATTTATTTTTATTTAAACTTCCACATTGTTTCGCATTACCTTTTTAAACTTCATACGTATCTCGACAATAGTAAAATATTCATAAATAATAATAATTATAATAATAATAATATGCTTAAAAATTCTAAGCATTCACGTGTTATAGTCTTTTAATGTAGTACACCTAAAACTAACACATACATAAGTTATCATTTTACAGAAAAGATCGCTTCTGTTTGCGTTCGAAAATCTTTTTAATTATTTTTTACGAAACAACATCTAAAGTTATACATATGAAAGGCAATGCGTGTTTCTAGAAAAATTCTTGTCACTTTCGAAAAGGAAAAGTATCGAAGCTGTACCAAAAAAAATGATTTATCAAATATCTTTGATTCTCTACGATCTTTGCGCCGTTGTTATGCCTTAAGATTATAATCATTCTTTATTTATATATGTGTATATATATATATTTTTTTATATTTCGCCGACCATAAATACTTTAAATTACAAATCGATTCTGGTCGAAACGATGGTAAAAACACGTGTATCTTAAAGAAGTATCAAAGCGACAAAGCTAATCGAAAAAGAAACACTGCATATCAAATAGTTATATATTAATTTTTATACAAAATTAGGCTGTTCTCAGGATAATCTGCCAGCTCTCGAATAAACGATTAGTGAATTTGAAAATTCATCTTTCGATATGATATCGTGGCAAAAATTATCCTATTCGATCTCGAACGTTTATTCGCTGGAGTTAAATTTCTCAAAAACAATGAATTAATTCTTGTTTTCGATGTACTTTCTTTTCAGCATTGTACTTTGCATCTTGGGACAAAAATTGGTCGAAAGAATCCTAAACTTTTTCTCTTCGTTGAATACGCGCCGTGAACCCCATTTACTTTATTGTACATCTCACAAATGATTTCTTTTCGAACAAGAAGCGATTGATCTTCGTGAATTGAAAAGAGGACAAAAACTTGAAGTCCACAGCGAAAGAATTTAAGAGGGAAATAAAGAAAAAGAAATTGAATTTATTATAAAGGAATCGATGGAAAGGAACAGGAAGGAGCGATCTGAGGGGCACACGAATGATGGAGCGTCGAAGGGAGTTTCAAGGGAATCGTTTTCGTTCATGGGGTTTCTACTGGTGCGCGATGGGGATGAGCTTCTCGCCCGTTCCGATCGCCGGAAGTGGAGCTTCAACGGTCAGGACACCGTCCTTGCTCAACGAAGACTTGATGCTCTCTGGATTTGTTCCTTTTGGCAACAAGAACTCGCGGTTGTATTCCCTGTATACCGATTTGCTTTCCGTTTTTTCTTCGTGTTTCGCGTGGACCTGTAAAGAATAAAGAAAGAAACATTTTAAAATCGCCATGTGTTATATGCAAAGAAAGGCGATCGGATGCAAATGGTGGATGCGACTTTGCGTCATACGGTTTGTCCCTCGGCTCGTAACCAAGACACTTATGTCGATCTACTCTAACGTTGCATATAACACGGATATTTACAACATAACGAAAACACAAAACAATGATACATTAGATTTAATAATGCGGTTCGGTAACTTCTGTAACAGAACCCAAAGAAGAGCAGAACGAAGGTCAAAATGCTGATAAAATGAAGTACAATGTAATTTTCTCGCCAAACTGATCGCGTTACGTTGATAAGATTAGATGAAGTCGTGTTGGTACACTTTTGAACGCTTGGTATTTCGAGAAACTAAGAGTATTTTTCTCGTAAACTGACGCAAACCTTGCGGAAGAAGTAGGTTATTATGAAAGGCAGGGATAAAACTCTGATATAAGAGAATGTTTTACGAGTGTCATTCAGAGAAATTGCTATCAGTTGGGTTGGCGATAAAAGAATGGGAGGAAGAAGGAGAGCGAAAAGGGTGGAATAATAACACGGAAGAAAATGGCGGCAGAAGGGCGCCGCAAATTTGGCCTTGTTTCGATGTATCTCTGCTCTTTCAATCGATATTTACGGACAACCTTCTTTCTTCGTTGCTCGTATCTCTTTATTCGCAATTTTTAAAGTTTTTTTCTTTCTTTTAGAAAATTTTTAACTACTTTTCATTTTCTACCGGGTGAAATATCCGCTTGAAAATTTCTCACGAAAATGTGTATCATGAATTGTCCGTAGAAACCACTCAAAGGTAATTCTTCGCTTTTAAAGTGGTCAAGGTCGACGTGGACTGGGCCTCGTTTGAATTGCATATCGCATGTTAATGCAAACTGGAAGAACCACCCTCCATTTTGCCAACAGCGATGAATCATACGAAGAACGACGTATTTCGGCTGAAGTACCGGTTCCATAATTTGTCGGGACTCACAGAAAAATTGGGACGAAATTCCTCCAAGCATCGTGTCTCTGTACAGTCTCTTTACTTTAATCGAAACAGGTCGAAACAAAATGTACCTTTAAACTTTCTTTAGAAAGTAAAGTTCGTCCAAATAAGTTCAACGCAGCGGAGTTTATTTTCGGAGCAAATATCTCCGTTTTTATCAGCGAGATACATTCGCAATCGCAATTATTAGCGATATTTTGACCGCGTCGATTTATCAACAAAAGCGTATGAATAACTATGACTCATACTCGATATAGACAAACTTGTGAATATTCGAACAAAGTTGCCAAAATCGATCGTCCATGTTTTTCGTCTCGTACATTCCGATCGTTGGGTTTGAAAACGTTGATCGACTTGAACGTTGAGCTCGCGTGATCACAGAAACGGACTTGTCCTAGCTGATTTATTAATACGGACACTTAATCGAACTGGCGACCTGAATTCGCGTAACCCTGCCTTGACACGCACGCGCTAGAAAATTGATAGATTTTCCAGGAAAGTAGATTTCAGCTGATCTAGCATTAGTCCATCAAACAGTTTCTTAAACAGTAGGTGCAACGTCTACTTCTATATCAGATCTATAATTAAAGATATGGAAGAAAAGCTTTCTTTGGAGCAGACTATGGAAGGAGTTATCTATCACGACCTTGTACGTGACAATGTACGTGACAAGTCCACTCTACACAAGCACCTGTTATATATTTTTAATATTGATATTTCGAACTACTCATTGCAACGAATGTTTCTGTTAAGCACGAGAAGGAAGGTAACTGCAATCTTTGAATCAATGCAAAAAACTGTACGAATGATGTCATGAATCTTATTAGCTAAGATTGAAGTTTTACGTCGATTCGCGAAATCGGGCAACGTCTAAACTAGCTTACACGAGAAAACACATTAAAAATAGAAGTTGCATCAGGCAGATGCCTAGCGTCCGAGTAGCGATTCGATGCCATGCAAATATTTTCCCGAGCAATCGACAATTTCTTACGGGGTTTCGTATAAATGAATCTAATTAGCGTGACTGTGAATTACGTCACGACGGATAATAAAACCGATCGCTAAAAAACAGCTATGTCATCGACGCGTTTAGACGCACCGTGTGCGATTAAGTCAATTTATCTGAAAAGGATCGAGCAATTATCCGCTACGAGTATCTTCCTGGTACACCGCGATAACGTAACAACAAACGTGATTTTCTCGTTAAGGATGCAGACTGCATCGATCTTTTCAGAGATATTACACAGGTTGCACTTTGGAGCGAAAAATTCGTGTCTTCGCAGGAAATGGAAGTTCGATAGCGAATAAGTTGGTCAAGAAAGAAAATGCAGATGCAAGACACGTTCGACCGCACCCAAGGAACACGAAGCGTGTGTTAGCCTCGCCTTCTCTCGCTAGAACGCGCTAATTAAGTTACGCAAACGACGCTAATTAACTGTCTTTCGATGCCCTCCTCGTCGAGGTGTTCTCATTCTTGGACCACTTTGACCGCGGACGATCTATCCACGCGTTCGTAGCTTGCCAGCGAACCAAATAACCTGGCCTTAACCTTGTAAAACAAGTCGCGGAACATCTACCGATCTTGACGCGCTTCGATTCTCGTTGTGCAACACAATGCGCTATCATATTTCGATTTGATAACAGGCGTTACTACGAGCAACCGATAGTGCAAGTCCATTCTTTTTACTTGCGCTTTCGTTAAACAATCTTTGATACACGTAGCATATTTTGCTTAATTAGCGAACGAGAAGAAGAGCAGTGGAATACGGGACGAGAGCGAAGCAACCGGAGAATCGCGGTTTTTCTGTAACGATAAAAACAGACAGACTCGTCTGCTGCGGTCTTGGAACTCATCTTCGCTCTACCTTAAGATATTGCGTTACGGTCGAAACTCTGCAAGAAAATACGATAAAACTAGGCAAGCAAATATTCTGCTTCCTTTAAACGAATATTTGATAGATTATGGTTAGACGCAGCGAAAGTAGACACAATTCGACCACCCAAATGAACGAGTACCTCGAGTGTCGATACCCGATAAACACGCGAATCTTCCAATTACGTTTCACCTCTAACTAATGCTAATAAAATTACCACCACCGCGTGACGAGATTACTGATCGTTCAAACGACTATCGATAACCTGGAAAACACAATAGTGGAAGTAGTTCATTGTGGAAAAAAAACCACCTCCTTGTTTACCCTTCGTTTAACCCTACAAGGTTCGATGCATTCTAGTCGCTTAGGTGGGCTTTGTTCTATCGAGAGTAACCATGTAAACCGATACTAGCAATGGGTACTTAATATTTTGATACTTTTAATACTTCGAGAAAGGCTGCTTTTTAAAGAGAAAATACGAACTGTGTCGCGCGGGCTTTCCTTTTTCGGTCAAGGAGAATGTGCCATTAGACGGTCCGGAAGGTAAGTCTCGCGTTACGCCGACGCTTTAATTGACTTTCGAAAGGTGGGACGCACGATTCGAAGTCTGGCTTTACGAGCGACCATGGAACCAACTAGAAGCCGAGAAACATCGTCAAATTTTAATAGTTATATTTAGTTTATGAGTCAGAGCGACTACGCGTTCTTTCTCGCGATTGGCTGCTCGAAATCATTCACTTCCTCGTGTATTCGAAAGTTTTGCTAAGTTCACGAGGAAAGTGCGCGACTACATCGACGAATTCTAGAACAGCTTAGCTGTCGTCGAAACAGCAAAAATCCGCGAAGACACGCAGACTCCGGAAGAGTCGCGAAGATGTAAACCGTAAGACACCGCGAATGCATCTGAATTCGATGATCGAGTGTCGTTTAGTAGCGGTTTGCGTAATCCTCTCGTGGCCTGGTAAGACGATATTCCAGCTGGAAAGTTTAGATCCAAGGTAGAGTTGAGTTACCAAGAACAGCGTGTAGAAGAGCTCGTCCATTCGTGCCTCCCTTTACCCTGCCATTTCCCTTCATTTCCCTTTGGCTAGGGCTAGGGTTACCTGTGGCGTGGCGCGCCAGTTGCTTGCCTGCGAGCGAACTCTCCTCCTTTTCGCTTTTCGTCTTTTACGGCCAACGCGATCGATATCGCGAGCACGCCGAGCGGACTTCAGACCACCGCAACCTAGACGCTTCAACGAAAAGCCCAAGGAATCCTCGATACTCTCCTTGCATCTGTTCGCTACGTCTAACGATCGCGTTCGATGCGCACGAGTAACGATTCCTTCTCAATTTCGGTTATTTAATTACGCTCCTTGCAACCATTCCTAGGAAAATGTCGACGTCGAATAGACAGAGAGGATGATTCGAAATAAAAATATTTTATCAACACGATAAAAGCGAGCGACCATATCAAACTTTCTTTTGAAATTTGAGAATTTTTCGACAAACCGTGCGTGGTAACGAGAAATTAAGTGCAAATACATGTACGTTGGTAGATGGATTTCGTTAAATTAACTGTGACAGAATCAAGGTATATCGAAGTACGATCGTTGAAAACAGGTTGGCCACGATCCTATCGTGCTCAAGGTCCACTTCGAATTCAGGTCGGCTCTGTTCGAGAATCGTAGTCCTTAAAGGGTTGTTCCAAGGACGCGTTCCAAAGGATGAGCAACAGCCCGAGCAAAGAATGCGATCTCCCTCTTATTGTCCAAGTTTAACTGCTTGCGCGAGCTGATGTCATGCTTGCTCGATAAAGTAAGTACTTACTGGATAAATAGGAACACGAGGACCGGTTTTATTTAAACGAGTAACACCGTCGAGCTACTTTGAGGGAACGATTACGAAACGGACGTCCATTTACGTTGTTTGACGGAAAACTGGGTCGCCCCTCTTTCGAATAGATCGATCTTCGACAACGATCATCAATTTTGTCACACGAAAATAACGAAACTGACCTCGTTCTAATCTGCACCGTAATGTGCATCGATTTCTTTCTGACTACACTTTTCCACGAGACAATACAATTTCCGACGAAATTAATTATCGAAATCAATTTCAGTTTGATTTAAGTTTAAGAAATAAATGATCTTCGCAAGAAGAAAGTAAATATTAGCAACAAAAGCACTATCGAACAAGCACTGAAATAATACCAGTCATCGTCATTTTATCGTAATTTAAGCGATAAAAAAGAAATACAGCAGAGTTTATCAAAAGCAGACTGGCCGTTTAGCTTGGAAATCAGAATAAAGCCATGCTTGTTCGCTCTGAAATTCCTCAGTTGCTTTGATCTTCCTTTCATAGCTGCGAAACACGCCATATCTCGGTACAACGACCTAAGCTTTCGAGCTTGCATAACATCGAGACTTCATTTTTATTACCTTATACTTTGCAAGTCTATTTTTCTCCACAAAATTTTCTTCTTTCGTCATTTTTGTTGTAACATTTCTTCGAATTTTTTTCAATTCCCGATCGTCGAGTTAAAAAAATTATGACTTCTTTCGACGTAGAATTAAGAGAGGATGAAATAAATAAAAGCGATGGTGTAAAAAAGGAGTAAGCAGCAACGATGTTCGAGACTCATAATGGTCGAACATTATTCGGAGCCGTCGTCGCGGTGTGACGAGCACCGTAAACTTATTTTTGGTGCGGGTTATTTCCGTGCAGGTCGGCGGGAACGCCGGCCAGAGAAGAAACTTGAACGCACGCATTCCTCCAAGAAAATTCTGGCTTCGACATCCTGCGTAAATTCTTCAAGAAACGAGAATCTTCTTTCCTCTTTGGGCACAGTCCGATTCGTAGAAAAATTCCCGAATTCGATACGGTAAATATCGTATCTAACGTTATGAAAATTTGCATATTGGGGGAAAAATACTGAATCTCAAGTGACTGCCAACGTGTTAGGGAGTTACGTACATATTCTCGACGAGACAGATGCGAGAAGAGAATCTGGTTAGGGTCGGAAGTACCAAGACGCGCGATACTTTTAAGTAACAAGAATTGCCCTTACGCCGGTGGAGCCAACTTCCTGCCGGAAGTGACGTAATAAGAGCAATTAGAATGTTCCACGTCGCTCATAAAGAGCCGTCGAGAGCGTCAGTAAAGCGACATAAAATTCTAAACAGCGTCCTGATTATGGTTCGAAATGTGCACGGGATACTGTTCAAAGTTAAAACAGAAATACGATCGGTAATATCTGATTTAGGTTTTCAATTGAAAATCGAGGTAAAGTAGAAAACACGTGGTAATATTACTATAGGATATTATTGGTACAACACAATCGCCATAGATTCGTATATGCGTCGATTGCGTAAAAAGATGAACCAGTTTCGATCGGTGCCAAGTTGTGCAACAACTAGACGAACGAAATATGTGCATGGCGCGATGAATCAAGCATTATAATTTCACGTAAACGCGAAGAGCATCGTCTCAAAGAAGGTTGCATGCCAATTCTCTTTCCGGCCCAATTTAGTGCCGGATCATTACTTACTGGCTAGAGCAACGTCTCCATTGTTTTAATTCGTATCTCGACTACAATGTTCCAAAAATGTTTGGCAAAACTTTAACGGAAAGTTCTTTAACCCTTTTACATTTGCATGTATCTATTTAACTCCAACCGTGTCGAAGGTACGAGCCTGTTAATTCTAAGTAGCTTTAGTGACGAGACAAAAGTACTTACCAACAGTTTATTGTCCACGGTTTTAACAACAATTTCCTCCGGGGTATACTGAGAGACGTCGAATCGGAGCTTCAACATTTTGCTATCGCCTTCATCCTGGATCAGAGGGCTGTTCAAACCGTCCAACCAAGCGGAATCATGCTGAGGACTCAGAGAACTGCTGTTCTGAGTGCTCTGCGTGGTAGTGCTGAAAGGTATAATAATAAATTCCAAATTATCGAATGCATTCCGATCGTCGACGCGCATTTATCGGGACAGGTGCGCGCTAGAACGATGAACGAAAAAAAATAAGTCGAGTGTGGGTCGGACGACGATGACGACGATCGTAAAAAAAAACGATACAAGTACAAAATGAAAGAGGAACGTGTCTAAAAGACAGACTAGCGTTCGTCTACGAGTGACCTATTGTAGATGCACGGTTTCAAAGAGTCTTACCTACGGTGATGATGATGCAACGAACGAGAGGAACAACATTAAAACTGGTCACGATGGAGAAACTAAAAATCGTGCTTAACTACGTGACAAGATCGATTAGCAGTGTTTGTTTAGAACGTTTAAATTAAATGCCACAAAATTGCGCCAAGCGTCACTACAGTGTGCGTGTACACTACTAGCATGAGCCGGTTAATCGTTTCACCAAGGGGTTAATTACTGCCAACGATCTACGTGAACAACGCATTACCTTTTTTCCTAGTGTTTTCGATGGTGTCCGGGGTTAGTCGTAAACTAACTAGTAACAAGGACAGAGGTAAGTCGCAGGAAAGTGTCGGTAACTGTTTCAACGATGGTCCACGTTGACTCCGATAAAGTTTCATCAAATTTATACGACAATCATTTAGATAGCTTTAATGCGCGTTGAAAAAAAATTCCAAAGTTTTAGCTACCGGACCATCGTTTGCGAGTTACAACGCCACGAACAAGTAGAGTACGTGTCAATTTCTCCGACAATTGGTGCAATGTTAAAATTATAATAAAACAACCGATAGTGGTTTTGGTTAATCGAAGAGGAGATTCGCTGTTGTGTCTGTGTTTTTTTTTCTTTTACAGTAGCGTCACCTTTTGAAGCTGTCGAATGCGGACCGCTTTGGCGGTGCTGCAGGATCGACCTTGTCCCAACCTTCGGTCTTCGAGGTCGTCGATGTACGGTGTTCGCTGGTGCTCGTGTGATGTCGACTTCAAGTTAGTCACCAACGTGCCAATGCAGAGAGCCAATCAGAAGGCGAGACAGAAGTCGAGCAAGAGGGTAACAGGGGATCATTATTACTTTTGTTAACTTTGCTTTGGTTAGTGTCTTTTGGTCGCATTTTCATGTCGAACTTGCTTACGACACTCAATTTTCTCTTTTAATTTTTAGACAAGTTCACCGTTTCTTGACATCAAATTTTTTAAATTCTTCGTCAACTTTGATTGATCTCTATTTGCCATCTAGCGAATCGAAAATTATCTTGATATAAAAAATGTGCTAAGGGTGTATAAAAGGAATCATTTATTTCAGATAGAAAGATGTAATGATGATCAATTTTTAGTAGAAAAAATTGAATGATATATGAGAAGAGATTCCTTCGAAACGATTTATTGCCAAGAAACGGTGCGTACATGAGGTGTTCCAAAGAAGGTCCATTCCCAGGATAAAAGAAACTTATCTCCGTATTTACATATAAGAGAGGTATAAGAGTAGCGTTTGGAAATTATAATCTCGTCAATCACTTAACACGTTTCGCAACAAATATGTAAAACCTGGTCTAAAAATTAATAACATCTTCCATCGCTTAATTAAATTTGTGTTTTTAATAAATGTGCCGTCACAAAACGTGTTAAGAACTCATTAATAATTAAAGATATATACATGGCACTCTTGTTTAAAACCTCTGCGCTGCTTATTTGTCCTCGCGCTTTGCAAAGCGGTATAAAACACGACAAAATTGATACGCAGCAGTTCCTAAACCTCTAAAATTAAAAAAATACTTTCGTACGTCGAGCACATTCTCGCGAAAGAAGTGATAAATTTAGGAACCACTGACGTAATCTGTTCGTTAACGCTTCACGTTATTGCAGGTTACACGATGTTACGTCACTCGGCAATTTAGTAATTAAATAGGCTAAAAACCAACTTGTCCGCATCATGCCAATCAGCAGTATTAAAATTATTTTGATAAGCTAGCAATCGATCATCGTACACCCGCGAAAATTCGAGACATCCTGGGAGAAAGATCTCGACAATATACCAAATATACCGCACACGTTATGTATTTGTATAATAAAAGTAATTCCTAACTTGGAAACACGTATATTCTTAATTCACTGTTTCGCGCAAATCGTCATTTTTACACGATACTTTGAACGTAAATTTCTTGGGCACAGAAACAACGATAGCATTTCATCAGGTAGATAACCTCTGATCGATCGATGCTGCACTAATTGCTCCGATTAATCAACGGTAATACCACCAATTCAGTACGAATTAAGTGGCATTCACTGACGAATTAAATTCGTTTCAAGCGAAATTCAATTTATTCCGTGTATTCTTATTTATGGCAGGAAAAGAGACGTACTGCGGTTTTCTCGAAACCGATAACCGGAAGTCACGACTGTTCTTCGAGGAGGTCAACGGTCAGGAGGATTCTAAAATAGTACACACAGCTGTGACGTGCAGCATCAGTCTCTGAAACTTAGAGTCTAAACGAACTCTGCAGCTTTTCGAGAAAAATTGAAAAATGAAAATACAATATTCGACCTCAAAAAATAATTTCTGGAATCTTCCTGCCCGTCGACCGTAGAAACGACTCAAAAGAGCCGCAAGTTTTTGCAAAATTCTCATTTAAAGTTACACAAAAGGGGAAGAGGGAGAAGTTAATCGGGTGCGCGGAGCGGCTGGTCGACAAAGGATGAGAAAGTTTAAAGCGAAAAGAAGTCCTTTCTCTTCGGGTGGTCTCTTTCACACGGAACAAAAGCGAAGCCATATCGAGAGGATCGCGCTGTCTGTCAAAATGTCTTTCAAGGTACAAACGCGAGGGAACTGCTGTGAAAGACAGAGGAGAAAGAAGGTATAGAATGCGGTAGACAATAATTATTCGAGTCAGGAGAAAGGTCCTATCTGGTCTGGTGAAGTCACGAGAGGTCAAGCATGCCGAGATCAGGATCTTGCGATTGTACAGCTGAAAAGGTCACGCGACTCGAAACACACCTTCTGGTATGAGTATACCTTTCTTCGAAACTATTTGTCAAACTATACTGTTTCTACGAAGTTACAAGGTTCTACGATTAAATGAAGTTAATTTGGCCCGGTTGCGATAATTAGTCTCATCAATTTTACGACATGGAATGCAAATCGTCGTATGCTTGGCCTAGAAAAGACCCTAAACGCGCAATAGTTCAAGTAGATAATGGGAGACGCACGCGGTGCGTCGGCAATTACATCAGAATATTCAGTTCGGTGCGCAAACTGAATATTTCCAACAAAATATCTATCGGAAGCCATAATACGTTTGCAGAGAATAAATATGAATGGCTATCGTGATATACTCTATTAGCAAAGATGCAATTTACCGGATATAACAATTGCTTATAATTCTATTTTCTCGTTAAGCATCGAAACGATGAACGACAAGTTAGTTGCATAACTCAATCGGGAGAAATAAGTGAAACGAAGGAACAATAGATTATCCCGAGTCTAGACGCGCTGCATATACGTTATAAATAAACTTAGACACCTCTAAAAGTAATCCACTGACTAGGAAACCGCAAGTGCCACGTATCACTTTCAATAAACTAATATTAGCAACGCGTTGAATCATTTGCATGCACATTTCATACTCGATACGACCTTCGATCGATAAGATTACTTTTAATGCAAAAAATCTGTACAAGTACAGTCCCTTTTTAGAATCGTAAATTTCTCGTACTGAAAAGCAAATCCGTGACAACAGAACGAAAGTAGCGCAGGTTTCGAAGATAAAACAGTAGCAAGAACGTACGTGCTAGGTGGGTCTTAATCGTAAGTGGACATAAATCTTGACGGCTAAACTGTTCGCCTAATAAAGTTTCGAGCATCGATTCGACACACTGCTCGTACGAAGAGAGAGTAACGTGTTACACGCTACCTGTGAGATTAATTTCCTGCAGTTCTGTTTCACCTCCGACACGAGCCTACCACCTCGAACGTCTTGTTATAATCTCTTACGAACGACGCGATCGAACACTTCGTCCAATTTCCATGAAACATCGTGTTCGATTAATTTAATGCAAGGTGCGACGCTATAAATACGTGCCTTTGAAGCTTCCGAACATTTACACCGGCATCTCGAGCGAATAAAACTGATGGTATTGATTTATTTAGAAAACACTTGTGATGCGTTGCATATGATGGACAGTGTAAGACGCATACCGTGTGTCATCAATTGCGTCGCATAAAGTAATGCAGCACGTACATAGTGCTCGATGGGTTGTAGCGTATAAAATAATGCAAGACATATATGGTGCACCGTCGAGTGCTAGGAATAATGTAATATAAGATGCGTCGTCGGTTACATCGGATGCACGGTTTAAGGACACATTCAGGGTATCACCGATTGCATTGCGTAAGTAGTGCAAGACGCACACGATGTGTCATTAAGCGTAATGAATAATACTCGGGACGCGCAAGGTGCATGATCGACGTTAGACGTGCTAATTCGCGACGTTTCTAGAAAGAATCGCGCTCAAAGGTAAATGTATTGATTCGACTCGGAACTAGACTGCTGAATGTACATAATGAACCACGATTGTTCAAATCATATTCATATGCAAACTTGTTCAGCTCGTGGACTAAAATGTCGACTAGTACTCGATGTAAATTGAGAGTCGATAAGAAGAATAAACAAAACGATGTCACGTTCCTTTTTAAGGCTATTTGTCAGCTCGAAACGATCCGAACAATTCGCCTCTGATCGAACGACCAAAAAAACCAAAAAAAAATGTCGAAACGATTCGCGGTGCTTCGAGATGACTCATCCTGTAAATGTACTAGAAAACATTTTCGAAAGAAGCTTGCGAGAACATTTATTTCGAACGATACTTGTCTATTTGTAGCAAGCTGTCCCTGAATAAGGATTACGTCACTACCACGCGAGTCCTCGGACCTCGCAATGCTCCATATTTACCTCCCACGAATCGATCAACGATTTATAATTGATTCCAAACACCTGTGTGCTTTCGACCGCTTTCGTTAAATTAAACTCGAAAAATCTTCTCGGCACTTTCGGAGGATTTAGAGCATAAAGCATACTCCCTATCATTTGGGAGGATATAATTAGAATCCTAGGCACCCGAAATTCTGAAGGGAGACTATAATGAATGAAGGAGAAGTTGGAAGATGTGTATCCATGGGTATTGCACCTACCGAAGCTTGATCACTGTCGTGTGTTCCGCTGGATATACATCCCGATCGACGATCATGCTGGTATCGCGTACTACAAACGATCGATATCTCTCGATTCGCGATTAGAAGGAATCTGTCGGCGTGCTGCTTTCAACGAGACAGAAAATTTACTGCGTAAAACTCTGCAGGGTTACCGCAAGCTCCTCACCTTTTCCGCGAGTTGCAATTGCAATTTAGTGCACGATTCCGGGTGGGGATTGTGCAACGTGTCACTGTCAAGGATGAACTGACGTAATAATCGTTTATACCTCCGGTAGTAACCACGTTACTACTGGACAACGATAGTATCGATGATCTTTGTAATCTTACGTAACGCGACTTGACCAAATTTCAGTTTGTCCCACGATAAATTGAAAATATTATGACAATTAATACGAATCGATGGTTTCTTCTTTAAACAAAAAATAATATGCTGCTCTATTTAGAGAAAATGTTCAAACTTCCATCGTTGTACCTCTAAAAGAAATTGCATCGATAAGAACAAAATTTTTACTTTAAATTCAAGCTAAAATCTAGCTTGTGCTAGCTCGGGGACACACTCCGTATAATGAAAAGTCTTTAATTACTTTCCGGAATGAAAGGGTTACTGCAAGAAAAAAGATACGATGCGAAATTCGACGTTGGATTACAAAGAGTTAATGTAATGAATGAACTTCGAGCCCGATGTAGTCGAACGAGGACAATAGACTGTAATGATTTAATCACGGAAGTGCAAAAGAATGTCGTATGAAATGTTCCTGTTCGATGACATGCCACCGCGAAGCGTTTGACGAGATTACAGGAAGAAGAGCGTTCTTTGTCGGCGCAACAAGTTGTTAAACGACTACCTATTATGCAATGCATCGTTCAAACAAACGGTGACGTTTGTTCGTCATTTACATAATGATCGTTATTCAAAAGCTGAAAAATTCGCCTCGCAATTCGATGCTAGAACCAAGATGGATCGGAACAAGTATTGCCGCCTTCTCTTTTCTTGTAGTCACGTTATTTCAAAGAAACGTGCATTATTGCATTACACGTATCACGTATACGATAATATTCATCTTGTAATAATATCCGAATCCTTAAATACAATCGGCGCAATGCAATCGGATGAAATATTGCCAATACTTTTTGGCTTCTCTATATTTAAATTTGAAATTCCTCCATTTTCTTCGATCATTATTTATGCATCTGCTCAAAGGCGAGAGACAGTCGATAATATCTGAGAAATTTCGAAATTTGACATGACCCAAATTCGCATCTGCCAAGATGATCTCGAATCCGTAGAATTTAGTCAGGGCTACCGGCGTTCGTTGCTATCGATAAAATTTATCGGCCAGTGGGGTTGGACGAATCCCCAAGCTAAATAACGAGGGCTCTCCAAAATTTATGTTCGAGGGTGAAAAGTCTCGAGCACGATATTGCGTATTATTTCTCTTCAATAGCAGAAAATTTGTTTACAAAATTAAAAACCTAATGTTTCGAAGAATCGATCTAATAGTTCCTCGGAACTATTTATCAATTGCGTTGAAAAAAAGTTATGACTACGGTAGAAAATAATACGGTACAAGGTTTCCTGAAAATTTCACTGGAAGAATGTCGGACAAGAAGTTCGAGTCGAGTTCGTAGCAGGTGCAAAATTTTGGTGGGTCGAAGGTTTGTTTTTCGTTTACCCCCCGGCAAGAAACTGCTCGCCGAGGGGTCTCTCCTCGCGTGTTCCTCGCACCGAACGCACTGACGAAACCTCTATAAATAGCGGGTACGTTACTGAAAAACGTGAAACGAATATACATACGCATGCACGCGTGAAAAAGACTCAGACGTGACCTTAATTTTCGTGCCTACCTCGCTACCGACAGATCCTTTCAATATCTTACATCGATATATTACTTAAGTTCTATCTAGGAGATACACGAGAAAGAATATACTTGGAAAATTTCAAAAAGTTCTGATCGGTTTCCGAAATTCAAACAGCCATATTCCTTTATTTACAAAATTTCAGGAATGTCGCAGTACCTCTTCATACATTCAGAAATTTTGCAAAGCGTTGCAGAATAAAACGTGCTGTCGCTTGTCGAAGTGACTGTACTGTTATGCTAATTCGCGATAAAAATCAACAAGCCTTGTGCAACGGCACAAACATCGATCCGAGAAAAACTGCGTGTAAAAATGGCGACTGTTGCGCTTTCGTTTTTACCGTTTAACAGCTAATTTTAAACGATCAATAATTTGTATTCTATATCAGTTCCGTTATAACATTATTTTATGCGAAAGGGAAAAGTCTTGTTTTCCTTTCCATATCACGTTTCGTTCAACGATAAAATTTGAAAATTACATCTCGTTCGAAACAATCACCTGACTTTACTAAAACATTAATCCCCGATGTAAAGTAATCTGACACGAGAAGCACTTTTCTTTTCAAAGTGCAGCATCGATCGCTTTATTTTACCTCGTTGTAATTTATGTTTAAAACGAAGACTTCCATTAATTGCTAAAAACAATATTTATATACAGATTTTCTTTGTCTGGTATTTGCGATGAATTGTACGACAGTAGACACTATTCTAGAACGAAGGATATCTACTCGAAATTCAGAGCCCCATGTAAACAAACGTTTCTAGAATAACACAAAAATAAATAACTCCTGTACTCGGACCGGAAGTTAGGTAAACTAACTGTGTGTACGTCGTTATCTACGGTTAACATATTTTTTAAACTCTAATTATTTAGAGCTGATATAATATACAGTTCCTATTTTATACCGGTGCACTACTGTTTTTGCACATAACTTAACATTTAGAGCAAGAATTTTCAAAAATGGTAGTCTTTCATGGACTGTTCTTCTCAAAATCTTACAATTTTGAAATTTAAAAATTTCGAATTCCCAACGGCAACAATAACTTCGACAAGAATTACGAAGTTTAGGAAGCTAAACTTCGCGACTGCGAATTCTAAACATTAAAATGATCATCGCAAACAAGAGGCAAAGAATAATCGTGCCGGTCTGTGCGCGCAATAAAAAGGTTAGGTGCGTCCCGGACAAATGCCGGTAGCAACGTACCTTGTGGTGCTCTTAAAGAAGTTGTTGCTTTCGCGATTCATCAGCTCGCTACGGAACCGTGACATCTCGTCCTCCATCTTTTTCATCTCGGCGTCGAAGCGTTCTCGTATGTTGGAAAATTCGGTGTCGATTACGCTGAAGTCACCCAGCTTGATGGGAATATTACGCTTGATACCACTGTCAGCCATGATTTTCGTTTTGACCACACTCGTGTTCCTTTCACCAAGCCACTAAAGAGGTACTCTCTCTTATACCGATAGCACTTCTTCCGCGAACGAAGATATATATTGCAAATAACTGTCTCGGTCACGTACAACCGTGCTGCACAATGTCTCGCCTAAGAATGAGCGCGGCTCACCGAATGCTCCTTAAATAGTCGCGACGTATTCGGCCGGTAGTTCGTAGGTGTCCGTTCGCGCTCGGCTCTTTTCGGAGGCGCTCGAGTCTCGTGCATGCGGTTCGAATCGAATACGAAATTTTACGAAGTTTAAATCGAATATGAATCAAATTTGTTTGATATAACATTTATTAAACAGGTATTTGTTTGTATATCTTAATTACATTTAATAATTCTATACAATAAATTTATCGATACGACAAGTAGCAGTATTATAACTTGAAAAAAACAAACATTAATATTTTAATTAAAGATTCATAGAAATAATTCATTTAATGATACTACAAACATACATTGCTAAACATAAAAATTTAATAAATCCGTTTCAAATTAATACCTAATCATTTTGCCTAAAATTGCCTTACACTTTTTCTGGTTATTTAATATTCATCGCGTTCAATTTTTTTTCTGCGAACGAAATTTTATGAAATATGATGCATTAAATTTAAAATAGAAACTACATAAACCCACATATAAGGCAGTTGTTCGCAAGTGCCAATAGTATTCAAAGTTTTTGAATAAACATGTGATCTAAGAAGAATTAGTGGGCGTTGATAGGTTACGATTTCACAGACAAGAAGAATGATTCTGTTCTATACGAGAAACGGTGACTAATACACCGCCATATGATCATTTCCTTATTGATTATCTTTCTTAAAGATGTACATAGACGTCTGCAAGCGAGATTTTATTTCCACTGGTATCCGATTTCGAAAAACTTCGTTTGAAACGACCAACGCGAAGGATGATTTCATGACACCGAGAGAGATCACCATCAGGTAATAACATTTTTACAACTTCGTTCTTAGGGTTTCTCGAAAAAAACATAATGTACAACCTTGTGAAGACTAATCTCGAATGATCATCCGATTTTCACGATATTAATCGGTTAATTAGATTACACAGTGTATCAAGAGTTTAATGAAGTTAACGTCCATTAAAAATACCTAGACCTCAATTACCATGACAATTTAATTATGAAGAACCGTTTTCATAGAGATTAGTTAATCGTTAGTAGTCACTGATTAAAATTTCCTGATGAGTCGATCATACATCGTATATTCGTCTTAATCTAAATAAGATGATGTATAAACTACAATAGAACGATGATAAAAAAGCATCGTTTCGAGTATTATTAATTGCTATTTTTAGTACAAAATGTATCTGTATATAAAGTAAACAATAAACTGCTGCCAAGTTTCTCAAGAACCATTAACAATAAATACAGACTTCTTCGAGTAACTGTCAAGGAAGTATTAAGCTGTTGAGATTGAAATAGAGAAATTAGTCATAAAACTTTCAGTCGCAATGATTTTATTAATATTAAAACGCGGATCAACGAACCTATATTTCATAAAGTCCTGACTGCTTATTTACATCTATCCGACAGTACTATTTAGACGTTCGTATCTTCTAATTGAAGTTTAATGAATTAAATGATACAATTTATCTCTGTGCACGTCGAATTACCACGCATCATAATTAATAACGAGTTACTTCTCGTGACAATATAACAAAAATTAACTGTGTATAATCTTTACTAAAGAATATCTTAGATAAGTTTATAATTATCATGACTGACGAACATTTATTTTGTATTAAAAGCATTAACGAACTTCGAGCTTCAAATTGATGTAGCACACATACTACCTCGAGATACTTTTTAGTTATTCAATCTTTTCAGAAGTTTATGATCCGAAATCGACCTAATAAAATAATCCTTTTTATTACCAACATACGCAGAAATAAATGACCTCATGAATCAAACAATAGACTGTTGCTACGTAAAATTCTTCAGGGAAGAATGTTGTCAGTGTCTTTAATCTTGTTCACATTTTCCTTCCCTCCTGTAATCTCGCACGATAAATCCGAAGCTATGCTCAAAATTTTCTTCCAACGAAAAAGCTCGACCATTCGTTTCCTTCAATATATTATCGCGGCACGTAGCACGATGATAATTTACGTTTTATTTCGTATCCAGCCCGCAACATTACCGGTGATTGCGAGCCGGTTACCAGTTGGTATACATTCTTGTTAATCACGCGCGAACATTCAGGTGTTCTAATTTGGACACGCGTTCAGAGAAGCGCGAAGGCCACCTATATAACTACATAACTTTCTGTTTACGCCGCGGGAACTGCGTAAGATTTTTTCTTCTTCTTCTTTGCCGGTTTAAATCAAGTTGCAAATGATGCCGACGCTATTTTCGCGCGCTTGCAGCGTCACACACATGCTTCAACTGAATGGAGCATCGCGTCACGACGCCTCCTTATTGTTCAAAAATAGTCTTGCTTGCCCGCCCTCGTCAACCATTTCCGGTGAATCAAACCGTGTGGAATGTGTTCTCGAAATCCGTATAAGAGCGTAATCAGGGGTGACAAATGCCAACAGGGGGTTGAATTTCACCCTCGTTGGAATAGCTGTATAGGTATGTTGTGCTATCTCGTATTTCGAGTACATGAGTAATTTCGTTGAAAAATTTGTTTCAGGATATGATGCAATTTTTATTTCTCTTCCATTCGAAGTAGCATAATAATATTTAGCAAGACATTAAAACGATCTCTTTCGATTCTTCGACAGATTAGGAAGAAATAACTTCTGAAAATTAAGAGGCGACGATTCCGTTTCGCCTCGCGAGATTTACCATCCAGTTACAAATCGTAAAACAACGATGACGGTGTCGGTGGTCGACATTGAAATTTATGGCGGCAAAACGTAAAAGCAAATAGAAGAGAGCGGTCAAGACTGTTGAGATTCATGATAAACTGTGTCAATGTCAAACTGTTCATGCCTCCAGACGATGTCTCCAGTTCTCTTCTACGATCGATTTGTTTCTTCCCCGTGTTTCTCTCTCGAAACGTACACGGAATTCTTATGTGCGTTTCTCACTCGACTCTGCGTGGGAGAACACGACTAACATGACGTCACCTTTGCGGGGGTTTCACTGATCGATAAAACGCGTCACAATGGGCCCTAATATGGATTGGACCTACGCTTGTTACGTAGCAAATTGTCGATGCACGTGTTCCTCCTTTCTCTGTAACATTTTTGTCTAGAAAATGGTGGTCGTAATTTAGAAACGTTATTTCTACGTTACTGAGCATCGAATATCTATGTCGTTTTACCCCATGTTCCTTTCTACGAACTTTATTCGTCGATATTAAGGATAATTTTGAATAGCGTTAATATTATGCAGCAGACTCCCGTTATATTGCTTTGCTCTATATCGTCACGTTCCGTATCGGCGCACCCTAAGTTATTTGATTAACTGCATTAAAACGATGCCAATGGCTTCCGTCGTCACCACTCAACGTGTTAATGTTTATGAGGGCACGTAACTCGTTTGAAATTATTTATCGAAGTTTATACGAGAGAAGATTCGATTGTCTTGTAACGATTCAAGCAACGTTTATTTTACGATAACAACATTGTTAGATTCGGTAGACAAGAAAGAGGAACGCGATCGTTTGCCAGACAAATTATATATGTAGCTATGGTATGCTGAAGAAAACAACTAAACTAAGGTTGCTGAAAAGATAGTAGCTCCACGCTACGAGCCGCTAACTATTATTAGCTGACAAAAGTTCGAGAGAGCCATAGCATGCGAGGCCAGATTCAACCGAAGGAATTCTTTGACCATTCGACCCCTTCGACCGTCATTCTTCGGCGATTCAATGTCGAGGGTACGATCCAATCTTACACCGTGTCTTCATCGTTCGCCATATTAATTATTTTTAATTATGAATTATACGAAAAATATCTGAACTCTACCTCGCTCGAAATGTGTATCATCGCGTGTCCCATATACGTCTCGGCAGAAAAAGTGTCAATTTAATATGTGCAAGAGCAAATCTGACCCTGTACTTAACGGTACTTAAGGGTTAAGAGTGTATTCATTCGCTGTTTCCTTACCAACCGGACAATGAACACTTAATGGTCACTCGTATACTTGGCTTACTTAGAACGATTCAATGAAGAGATGGCTAGTGTCGTACGACGACTTCGCATTGCTGCCACTGACTTGAGTACAAATGGGATTTGAGGTTAACGCGCTGTGATGTCATTCTCTGGTATCATACAGTTTATCAAAAGGATTCGACAAAACTGTTGGTCTTTCGTCAAGATTGCCATCTGGATTTAAGTTAACTCATGACTTAATGTGTACGGTTATAGTTAACGCTTGTGCAATCCCAATTTAAACATGGAAGATCGTAAGCCGAAGAAAACATATTGCCCATGTAAATACCATGTCAGACAGGTTCAATTTACAAATGTAATGAGCAAAACAACTTAAAATCATTCTCGTGTTGTTTGAAACATTTGTTTCGATTTCATTGCCGCATGTTTTTTTACCAAATATGTGCAACAGGTTGAAACCTTCCTTGTTATTCGGAGTGATTTCGCCAAATGTCTGTCCAATTACCTCGCACACATACCGTGATATCGTTTCATGATTAGTCAAATGTTATCATCCAATTTACAGCTACTACTGTGTAAACTCGTGTAACACGATACTAACCGGTTTATTGTAACATTCGCGCTACGTGGGTTTGCAACTCGATCCGGCTGCAACTACTTATAGCATTCGTGCACGTTTGTACTTGCGACTTGAACGATACAACTCGAATAAACTTTCAGTATCTATATTCCTCATCTGTTGTACAAGATCTTAATATTTTGTGTTCGTGCTGAAACCCGTATTTTTATTATATCAATTTCAAATAATTAGATTTTGTAAATACTTTTTTCTCAAACAAAAATTTAACGCAAAATTAAACTAAATCTAACTCAGACTCGCCAAATATAGATGCTATTTGACAATACAGCTGATTACACTGTTTATGTTTAACATTAGATGAACATCCTTCATTTTACTCCACGTGTGTGAAGAAATGTCATTACACGCAGGCTAATGCAGTGGTGGCCAATGTCACTGCCACGAATAAACCAGACAATACGTAATACAATGATAAATGGTCGTAGTATATTAAACTAATTGTGCAAGTATCACTTCTGTACAATTATCTTTTTTAATACATTGTGACAGTGTATATTAAAAATTCGATGCTACATATGTGCTACTGAACTCTTACGTTAGTTAAATTCCAATAACACTATCTTTAGATCTTATTCGGATAAGTGGTTTATTACTTGATAAGATAACAAAAGATTATATAAATTTGGTAATATTATTAAAATTTGTAACAATAAGATCACGACGTTGTTTGTACGTAATCATTCCATCACTCATAAAAAATACCGCTACATTGGTTAATACATAACTGCACATTAAGTAGAGAGAATTGCATTTGAATTACCGTCACTTGACGCGCTACTTGATTGATCTTAACCTCCCCCTTGCGTTTGTTGTCGGTACTACGTTAACACGTCGTGAAGACTGTCAACAATCATGGAGAATCGTATCAAGAATTTATCTAGCAAAAAACAATCAGAGAAAGCGAACAATGAAAAGAAACCGTTCAATAAAAAGAAATATAGGTTACAAAAGTACAGCAATGATTATAAAAGTATGTTTCCAATCCATGCAATTAACTTTTAGGTTAAGTTCCTTACAGATTATTAAATGTAAGTATTATTTAATTATGTTATTTTTAATCAGTTAACCAATGGGAGGAACGTAGAAAGAAGGCAATTTTACGACATTTTTACAAAGACTTGAAAGAAGATCAACGGCAAAACTTGAAAAAAGTATTGCCATCAAAGAGTAGTGATCACGAAGGAAATGCAGAGTTTGTATTTCTATGTTAATGTTTCTTTGTATGAGAAATAGTGAATAATACTCTTGTTAATAATTTTCTATTTTGAAGGGATAAATCAAAGCAGAGAAATTCATTTTATAAAGCTAAGCAGGAATTTTTGCGTAAGAAAGATGAGAAAAGGAAACAGAAGGAAGAAGCACTTAGGATAAAATTGGAACGAGAGGAAGCACTTAAAACATATAAAGAGAAGAAAATAAGGACATACAAGAAACTTTCGAAACATACAAAAAGAGGTCAGCCAGTAATGAAGGACAGAATGGAAATATTATTGGAAAAGATACAGCAACAAGTATCAAACTAGAAAAAATGCTGATGGTTGTAGCTGTAAATGCTATCAATGAATGTTGTTTGTTATCAATCTAAGAATTTTTTGAATAAAGTATTTTGTTTATAAAATAAACTCTACTCTGTGTATAATATGTATGATACTTCCTCTCGAATCAAATAGTATAAGATGAATGGCCACTCAAACTGCTATGAAAATAACAATTTTTGGAAGACCTACACTTCCCTTGTTACTTTTACTTCCCTTCCCACTAAATCTATTTTTGAATAATACAGGACACCTTAAATTTTAAAGATTCAAAATTTTGAAGTTGTGTAGTTACAAAATTTCATGGTCCCAAAGTCTTAATATTTCAGAGTTACAAAAGTCTAATAAATGCATGACAATAACAGAATTGCAAGAATAAACGATCGATGAAACGCGTTTGATTCGAAATACGAATTTGCCCGCGCATTGATCAGAGCGCAAACGCAGTGGCATTTGACGGGCAGCCGTCAGCTAGTCAGCGGTTGCAAATGGCGACAGCCACGAAATCTCTGGCACCGACTCGCGAATAGTTTCACGCCTACCAAGTACTGCGTGACCGAGCTGTGCGTGAACGTTACCCTAACCCAGATTGGTATGTACTTAAAACTGCCACGTTAAAAAACCACGCGTATAATGGATAACATTTTTTCTTGGAAAAAAATCTCACTGGTTGCAGTCGCCTCCCGTGCGACAGGTCATCAAAAACGAAAAGCCACTGTTCGGTACACCTATCATTTCCAAAATATTATTTCTGTACCCTGGATCAATACAGTATAATTCTCGTTTAATTTCTTAATAATTGTTACTATAGCTCGTTGACATAATTCTAAAAATTTTTGTCTAATGGGAGCCACTATCTGGCGTTTGCACGGCACTGCTGTCAAAAAGTGTTTGCCGTCGGAATCTAGGACGCGGTACCGGCTTAATCGCTCGATTTTCCTTTCGAGCGTCAGATAGACCTTTGATTCGCATGTTCCTCCTTATCAGTTTCTACCGTTTATACACTCTGCCAATTTTATTGAATGATACTGCACTCGAATGTAGTGTACTGAGTTCGATTTTGAAGTTGGTTTCTCGACTGAAGGGTTCGTTGATTCGAGTACTCTTAATCAACGAATATCGTTTAGATCGTTTTCTTGAACTTCCCCCTATGCATCTATCGCATGTCATTAAATAACCATGTGTATTTGTCAATCTATAAATAAATTTATAAATTAACCCTTAAACAGTTGCATCAGTTTCATTGACCTCTGTATATTTTACTTTACATTCATTTTTTAATAACTGTAATTTTCTAGTTCTATTATGCCAGTTGGTTGTATCAAATATTTTAATGATTAATATTAAAGCATAGTTGTAAAATAAATTTTAATTCATTAAAGTATAATGAGTGATAATTCAAATTTTTTAACCACTCAAATGAATGTATTTTATTTTACAGGTGGTTTTAAGTAAAACAAGACAAGATGCCGGCTGTAAGAGGAGATGGTATGCGTGGGCTGGCAGTATTCATTTCTGATATTAGAAATTGTAAGTTTAAAATGTGCTCTTTTAATAGTAATTAATTTTTTATATAACATTTAAAAGCACTAAATTATATTTTATCTGAATTAAAATGTTCGATTGCATCTTGATTTCGTTAGATAAACAAGAGATATAAGTTAACTTTTGAATCGTTGAAATTTTGAGCCACGTTTCATTAAGAGATACGTTGCCATTGAAACTAGAGTGACATGCTGAGTATTTAAAGCAGTGAAGAGTAGAAGACAGGGGGCGGAGTTCTGATACAGACATATCTGTCTGATTATAGCTTGACTTTTATACGTTAATATGTAATACTTGGCATAATTTAATAAATGACTACTGAAATTGATACCCTTGAATTTTTTAAGAAACTTACATGAAACAGAAAATTGTGACATGTACAAACTATACTTGTGTATTATTTATGTAATTTGCTATAATAAATAGTTGCATAAAATGTAAGATAAGAAACAGACTTTTATAGAGCAAATCAATACAAGTAGGTTTTGATACTAGTCCAAGTGGCATGCAGCCATTATACTTTTCTATAAAAACTATGACAAATGTAGTTGTGTATATTATCCATACATGTATAAATATAAATATATAATTATACTACAGTTGTATTTAGTTTATTTTTTATTGATAAGAACAAATAAATTTTTTATTTCCTATTTATTAATATTTTTATCATTATATTATTAAATAAAATAAACTGTGTAATACAAAATACTAATATATTTAAAGTGAAATATAAATTTATTCATTCTATTAGGTAAAAGTAAAGAAGCAGAAATTAAGAGAATAAACAAAGAGTTGGCAAATATTCGCAGTAAATTTAAAGGAGATAAAACGCTTGATGGTTACCAAAAAAAGAAATATGTTTGCAAACTCCTTTTTATTTTTCTGCTTGGCCATGACATTGATTTTGGGCATATGGAGGCTGTAAATTTACTTTCATCTAACAAGTATTCAGAAAAACAGATTGTAAGTATATATGTTATTTGAAATCTATGCTGTAATCCAATACAATTATCACCATTTTTCATCTAGCAATACTATAAGTATGGTACATAAAAATGTTATATTTTCCAGGGTTACCTTTTCATATCAGTTTTAGTAAATACAAATAGTGATCTCATTAAGTTGATAATACAAAGTATAAAGAATGATCTTGCATCACGTAATCCAGTTCATGTAAATTTAGCCTTACAATGTATTGCCAATATTGGTAGTAAAGAAATGGCAGAGGCTTTTGGTAATGAAATACCAAAACTACTTGTATCTGGGTAAGTTGAAAGAGTTAATAGGTATATATAAATTATTTATAAAATTATAAATTATATTTTTCACTTTAGAGATACTATGGATGTAGTAAAACAAAGCGCAGCACTTTGCTTGTTACGATTACTACGTACAGCACCAGATGTGGTTCCTGGTGGAGAATGGACTTCACGTATAGTTCATTTGTTAAATGATCAACATCTTGGTGTTGTAACAGCGGCAGCGTCTCTGATAGACGCTCTTGTGAAAAGAAATCCAGACGAGTACAAAGGGTGTGTCAGCTTAGCAGTTTCACGATTGAGCAGGGTATGGTATGATTTGTTAATCCAGTCTTTGGCTAAAAGATAGTTCTTTGATCTTTGTTCTATCTTGTTAGATTGTCACATCGAGCTACACAGACCTACAGGATTATACGTATTATTTCGTGCCAGCACCGTGGCTTTCTGTCAAGTTACTACGACTACTACAGAATTATACCCCGCCTGGTAAATTACTTCAAGCCGATTTTTATCGTTTAGGTTCTCGTACATAGTAATTTTAATGATTAAAGTAATTTCGTAAATTTTTAACAGCTGAAGACCCAGGTGTAAGGGGTAGACTAAACGAATGCTTAGAAACTATATTGAACAAAGCTCAAGAACCACCAAAATCGAAAAAGGTGCAGCATTCCAATGCAAAAAATGCTGTATTGTTTGAAGCCATTAGTTTAATTATTCACAACGATAGCGAACTGCCTTTATCGGTTAGAGCGTGCAATCAACTCGGTCAGTTTCTATCGAATCGCGAGACCAATCTTCGCTATTTAGCGCTTGAGTCTATGTGTCACTTAGCCACATCGGAACTTTCGCACGAAGCTGTGAAAAAGCACCAGGAAGTTGTTATTCTTTCTATGAAGATGGAAAAAGATGTATCCGTTAGACAACAAGCTGTGGATCTTTTATATGCTATGTGTGATAAGAGTAATGCAGAAGAAATAGTACAAGAAATGCTAAACTACCTCGAAACTGCTGATTACTCGATTAGAGAAGAGATGGTTCTTAAGGTTGCCATTTTAGCTGAAAAGTATGCCACTGATTATACTTGGTACGTTGACGTCATTCTGAATCTCATCAGGATAGCGGGTGATTATGTCTCGGAGGAAGTGTGGTACAGAGTTATTCAGATCGTTATCAACAGAGATGATGTGCAAGGATATGCAGCAAAGATGGTTTTCGAGGTAAATAATGCTATTGATTAAGGTCGTTAGTGTTAGGAATTATCCAATTTATTTTGAATATTTATAACATTCGTTAGGCCTTACAAGCACCAGCTTGTCATGAGAATATGGTTAAAGTTGGTGGTTACATACTCGGCGAATTTGGAAACCTAATCGCTGGCGATCAACGCTCTTCTCCAGCTGTTCAATTTCAATTATTACATTCCAAAGTAAGTTTCCCGTGAGATGTATATAATTTCTATGAAAACACCGTAACATGTATTCTTTTTATTTGCAGTATCATCTATGTTCCCCAATGACTCGAGCATTATTGCTATCAACGTATATAAAATTTGTTAATTTATTCCCTGAAATGAGAAGTCAAATTCAGGATGTTTTCAGACAGCATAGTAATTTACGCAGTGCGGATGCCGAATTGCAACAGAGGGCTTCAGAGTATCTTCAACTAAGCATCATTGCATCCAGCGATGTTTTGGTAAGTATTAATAAGATTATGTTAATTGCGATTATTACAACTTTGGTCTAATCAATTTTTTTTATAGGCTACCGTTTTAGAAGAAATGCCTGCATTCCCTGAAAGAGAATCTTCCATTCTCGCCGTTTTGAAAAAGAAAAAACCAGGTCGTGTGCCTGAAAATGAAATCAGAGAAAGTAAAAGCCCTGCACCAAATACTAATCACCACGCGGAAGTACCAGCTAGCTCGGTACCATCTGTTAATAACACGTCAGCAGATTTATTAGGTCTTTCGACGCCACCGTCGTCTCAGCCAACTAGCAACACAGGAGTTCTTCTAGATGTATTAGGAGATATTTATAATATGCCGAATAAAGTCGCTACCAATGGTGCCCAGAATACATATAATCCCAAGAAGTATGTTAATTAAAAACAGAAAAGTTACAAAAAACTGTATACGTTTCTAACGTCTACATCTTTCAGATTCGTGTGCAAAAACAACGGTGTACTATTTGAAAATGATTTGATCCAAATAGGAGTGAAATCGGAGTTTAGACAGAATTTGGGACGCGTTGGTCTTTTCTACGGAAACAAAACTCAGTACGCTCTTCATAGTTTTCAGCCTCAACTTTCCTGGTCCGAAGAGAATCAAGCAAAATTAGCTGTACAAGTAAAACCGGTCGATCCTGTATTAGAAGCTGGTGCTCAAATTCAGCAAATGATTAATGCTGAATGTATCGATGATTATAGCGGTACGACAAGTTACATAACGTTTCTAAGAAAGACAGAATTATACATTGTTAATGTATGTTTTGCTGTTTATAGATGCGCCAAGTATGCTCATCTCTTTTATTTACAATAACGTGCCACAAAAGATAACGATGAAGTTACCATTAACAATTAACAAATTCTTCGAGCCAACGGAAATGAATGGAGAATCATTCTTTGCGCGATGGAAGAATCTCGGAGGGTACGTAATATTTTAGACAAAACATTAAATATTAATTCAAGTGTTTAATCATCAAGAATTTTTGCTGTAGCAAGAGTCCTATTGAAATTAAAAATTATTATTATTAAATCATTATGTTTCCAGAGCGAATCAACAGCGTTCACAAAAGATCTTTAAAGCACAACAACCGATGGATCTGGCGCAAGTTCGCACGAAATTGCAAGGATTCGGAATGCAATTACTCGATGGTATTGATCCAAATCCTGATAATTTTGTCTGTGCGGGTATAGTACACATGAGGGCACAACAAGTAGGATGCTTGTTACGTTTGGAACCTAACAAACAAGCACAGGTGATTCTTTAGTTGCAAGTCTTCATTAAACCAATCATTTTGTTTCAATTAATAATCAATTATATTCTTCCACCATAGATGTTTCGTTTAACGGTACGTTCGAGTAAAGAATCGATGTCGGTTGAGATCTGTGACCTGCTGGTGGACCAATTTTAAACGGCCTAGCAGGCGTAAAATTAATTTAAGATGTATTAAAAAACGCCGTGGGAAGACATATCGTGATTTACAAAAGGGATGTCGTCTCTCGACGTTCAGAAAAGATACTGATGATTATTTGTTAAGAAATATTCGTTGTACCCAAGCTTACAATCACAGCGCGATCGTAAGAACTGAACCCATTAATGTAGGCGAAGCGTTGTTACCATGCTGCAATCCGAATAAAGCACAGGATTGCATAGAATATGAACAAGATAAATTGTGTATATGAAAAACTAAAAACAAAAAAAATACCAAACGGCATATATACTGACTATGACGGACAATATTTAGTCCACGAGTGAAGGTAACAAGTATATAGACATTACCCTAATTTCTTTTTTCTTTTCTTTAATTTAATTCGTGTCTAGAAAAAAATCATGATTCGTAATGACGCGTAGATATTCGCCACGAGTATCCGCAAAAGAACATTTGAGTTACCGCAACATTGCTAACGTACATTTTTTTACGAACAATTTTATAAACAATTATGGTTTTCCACTATATATTTTCGATGAGTTTATCGTATGTAAAGTAACAGGATTTTTATAGAAATTCTTTCTTATCTGCACACACATTCGTATACTCGTGGCGCGTTTCCATCTATGTCTTCTAGCTATTTTTGTACGTACGAGTATTTTCCGTACCAATTTCATTTCTGAGATTATTATCATTGTTACGTGAGCGATAGTAGATTTGGGCACGATGACAGTAGTTGTATGATATTAGTTGTTTATCGTAGAATTTCCTTGTATTTAACGGAGCTGAAAATTCCTCTTGTAATTAGTAGATTCGACATGGTCGCTCCTGGATCCCAACCCTTACCCACCATTCCGTTCCTTCTATCCTCCTTATCCCGGATTTTCTTTACCTCGAACGTTGGTGTACAAAATCCATGGCTGGTTATGTTCAATGACTCACGGAGAGGAGCGATTAAGTTCAGTAAGAGGTAAACAAGCAAAGAAAAAAGTAAAAAATCAGTAGAATTTTTCTAACCGTCTTTAACGAGTCTTGTGTGAGATGTATATTTCAGTAGTATATCTTGTACAGATGATGTTCACGAATGCGTTGGAGATTAATTATATATGTTTTGTCGTAAGTGTTTAAGAAGAAGATAAAGAAAAGAAAGGAGCAGCTCTGAGCGACGTCTTAAGGCCGTGTTTACATTGCGATCACGCTTCACGATTATAACAGTGTTACGTGGAAATTGTAAATCTCTAATTGAATTGTACATAAGAAATCCACTGATTAATATGTACCGATAAGAAATCATTGCAGAAGAGATACAGAATCAAGTACTTGTAGGCCGCAGTGATCTGTAATATCGTTTTACTTTTCTCTCCTGCTGTTTCATTTATAATTTCTTTATCATGCGAACACGAGATGTATGTATATTTTTTTTATGTTCGTATAGTATAAATTTATATTCAAAATTTTTCTTCTTATTCCACCTGTAAATCCTTTGTTGTGCATTGTTCATCACAGCATGAGTAGAAAATGTAGCATGATCATTTACCTTTTTCTTTCAGTTTAATGCATTGACTGCCATGGTACCCAAGTGTGGGCAATACTTGTATTTTCACACAAATACGTCATTCGTATTAATAACAACTTTTTTATTTATATAATTAGAAAAAATTATATTAAATGCTTGAAATTAATGGTAAAATAATACATCAAGTTTTTAACAGCTTCAGCATGACAGTCATTGTATTAAATATTTAATGTTATCGACTTGTTCTTTGTAACTGAAATTTAAAAATTTGAGAGTGTTATAAATATGTATCAAGATCAAATAATATTCGATCTCAAACCTACAATCGGTGCTAAAAATTTTAGTGCAAAGAACCTATTATAGATTAAAGATATAAAAGCATTCTTTTATTGGACACTGATGGATCAAATTAAGTAGAAGTACATTATAGACAAACAAAATTAAAACATTTGTCTTTTTTCTATTTATGATTTGCGTTTTTATTTGAATTTTTTATGCAAGAAATAATGCTTATATAACTTTACATGTGCTCTTTTAATCTATAAATTTCTTGCGAGTTATTTTTTTTATGTTTAATTCAGACACAAGATACACTGAAAGTATACTATATCTAAGAAAATTTTTGCAAAAATTTCTTTACATAATATTTGCCTAACAAAATTGCAGCTTGGTTTAAGAAAGTGTGACATATAAACATTCCTTACCTAATGTGGTATAAACAAAAATATGTGTACATGTATGGAGATGTATTTTATATTTAAGTCAGTTATGTAATAAGTGTGAACATCTATTTTTTTCGATTTAATATCATTTAGACGTTTAAACAATCAAAATTGAATATTAATATTTTCATCGATCATTATATAAATACCCCATTTACATAAATTTTATTCGGTTTATGTACATATATGCAACAAATAATATTTCGATCTTTGCATACCAAATTAATTTCATTGCTGAATCCAGAGAGATGATAAAGTTGTTTTTGATGCCACCTTGATTTTATCGAATTTTAATATCTTTTACATTTGTTCCTTTTATGAATAAAATATGTAAGCTGCTGATGCATGAAAATATACTCTGGCATATTTCATTTCCAAATAAGGTCTCTGGATACGCTTATAACCATTTCAAACAAATACATAATGTAAGTGTAATTAATATAACAGAGTAAAAATTCTCAAACACAATCGCCCAGTCATGGATTTGTTGAAATGATTTATGTTTCAAAAAGCTCAATGAGTTTCATGATTACTTTCCCTATATGTATATTTTCGTACGTGTCTGTATGTTTATCGCTACGAATGTGTGAATCATATTTGTTCATTCGATTAGATTTACCTTCAAACGACTCGTATATATATTATATATATACACGCGCGCGGATGCATATATACAAATATAAATAAAGTATATATAATTCATATAAATATATATATATATATATTATCGAGAAAGAAATGTGTGGCGACACACGATTGTTAGATTATTATGTTGCGGCGTCCTGATGGAACGACGATCGCAACGTATACAAATGAAACGCGTTTGTTACAACGCTGCAGAGGTTTATTCCGGTAAAAATTAGAGCTTTTGATTTGAATCGAATATACAAAAATTACCTGGTTACTTAGGGAATATCCAAATAAATAAGATACTAATTTGGCCGACACTGATAGCCTTTCGGTCATTTTCGACCAACATCGGTAACGAACGGAAACGGTCGAAAGACGATCCACTCCCGAATCGAGATTCTCGACTATCTTACGCATACCCGCGTAATTTTTGTTTACTCGAATATCTCAAATCGACAGTTCTAGTAAAAATCTTTGTCTGTCTCGTTGCTTTCTTATTCCCGTGTATAGATTTAATGTAGGAATTCGAATAAGAATGCGATTCAGTAAACTCTGATAAAGACGAACGAACTATGTATGTAATTGATAACTTTTATTGCGTGTTGCGTACATAACTCAGGGTCGCAACGCGTAAAGATATGTAATTGTTTTATTTCTAATTATCGTTTACTCTTTTAATCGGTGACTAGTATCGTCATAGAACTCGATGTCTCGGCGAATAAAGCCTAATATCGGTTTCCGAAATTTTCTGAAGAATCTTAAGCAAATTAAAAATATTTTTGAGAACCACAAATCGATTCGATTTATTGATAAAAGTTTCTTACAATAGCAGAACAAATTATCCTTAGATCTATCTTTATTAATACAAATCAATCTGAAACAATCGTAAGACTGGAATATGGACCGCGCGAATCGCTAATGGCTGTGACGTTCTATAATCGTATTTACTGAAAAGTTACACGTAGATTTACAGTTTCTTGTGGAGTTATGAAATTTTATATTATTTTCTTAAGGGCAAAGAAGATAGGGAAAATTTTCTGCCTATAAAGGTATTCAAAATAATCGAATAAAAGTTCGCTGAGCCATCGACAATTGTAGAGTCCCTTATTTGTCGGTGTTTAGATTTAGCTAGCAAGCTAACTTTTATATTTACGGCACAAAGCATGAATACCAAGTGCGTTCGCGAATTTATATTTTTTTTGCTGTAAATTTGGAAAGTGTAACACGTAATTTATAAACGAATTTTCTACATTTAATCTTTACGCGAAGAAAGCTTTAAAATTTACTTTATAATTACGTTTATTTTCGCGGTCAATAACACGCAAAATCCATTGATGAGATCAGCCTTGCGATTTTTCTGCGACCATTGTTTGTATCATTTAGTCTCCACGTACATGTACGTTTGTAAAATGCTATTGATTTATATTATTAAACTATACATATATATATATATATATAATTAATCTCGTACAAAGTGTGCCCTCGATTACTCGATTTAGATTCGTATTAGAATGTCGTAAGCGCCTGAGTTGAAAACTTGATATAGCTGCCAATCGACGTATCACGATCGAGCGAAAGAATATAGAAAAGCAAGTTTTTCGTTTACATGTTTAACTCGAATTGCAATTTGAAACGTATCAGATTGAATAACAATTGTTCACGATTCGTCCATTAAAAAGAAATAATTATACGAGAAACAGTGGTCGCTTAACAATGTACAACGAACAATAAGACCAAAGAAGCTGATCGATGATTAAAAATTATTCAAGTTGTTGTTCGAGTAAAAAGATTCAACTCTGGAGCACGCGACAATCGAAATCGTCACATTTTGATCTTGTCATTTACGTACACATTTCGTCGAGTATATCATAGTTACTTGTATAGACTTAGGTGTTCAATATCCGAGCATCGTGCCAAAAAGAAAAAAAACCACCAGTTTCTGCTTCTCTTTGAAAGTATGGAAATTTACACGGGGTCCACACTATACGTCAATGAAAGAAACAAATTGTAGGACTGTAAAAACGAACGTTGTAAATTTGCTCAGCAATGTTTCGCGAACCGCGTTCATGACATATACAGTACCAAGCACGTTCGCTTTTTCTTAGGAAAACGGCGAATTAAGGGAAAAAGACTCCGCGCCATTCGTCTTGGCACATTCGTTCTTCATAAAGAATAATTATCATCCGAATATCGGCGGATATCCGGTAGTCGATTGCTAACATGGAGGGGCCGAGCTCAAATCTCGATGTGGATTTTTTCACGACGATAAAGGAAATATTAATAGACGGGTAAAGACATCGTATACGCATCGTCAAGTTCACAACCTGAATCGATCCCGGTAGCCATCATTTATTTTCTCGAGACCTCCAATTATCGAAACGCGCGACGAGAGCTCTTTCTTCCCCTACATCGTCTTCTCCTTGAAGGAAGATTAGCGTGCTTGGCAGTTTGTACTCGGATGGAACGTAGAGCACTTCTTTCCTGAGTTAAGAGATTCAGGTGTTGGAAGGAGCAGAGGGATCCATCTATTGTTACACGTATTGAAATTCTGACGTCCCAAAGTTTAGCAAAAGCACAGCTAGAGAACGTAGAGTTAGAAAATACTCCTTCCTCTACGCTTTCTTTTAACTAAGGAAAGCTCAGGTTGCAACCGAGTATACACAAATTTACGCCTAACTTCAAGCACGTCCGGAACACGGGGTTCCACGTTACGATATTTTTCCAATAACGAACAGAACTGTTTTCATTCTCCTTTTTGCAAGTTTTTATCTCGACGCAAAGCCCCAATAAATTATTCGGTAATGTCAAGGTAGCGATGTAAATTAGTTTTTCGCTTGTCGCAAGGAAGCGTGTATATTATGTTCGATATTTAACGTAAATGCAATTTACAAATTGCTTCGCAATAGCATAGCGGAGAGAATAATACGATACATTCAATGAAACAGGAAGTAGCTGAACAGTTAATAAACGTTTTGTATGTACTCTTAAAGTTCCTTAGAAAAAATTAGAGAACGTGTTAGCCGAGGTTATCTTAATTGCTAGATAAATAATTAATACCAGTTGAATCGATATAATATGCGAGGATCGTTTTATTTGCATTTATCTCATTGTGGCATACTTTACAGTGACTTATTTTTATAGATAGGTTTTACGATAGAAAAATATAACGACGTTGTTTCAAATGATTTATAAAGCGTTTATATTATCGATGTTCATCGATGTAACGATAACCGACTCACGAGAAAACTTATTTAGCACACGGTAGCTTTGCTCGTTGTAGGGACTTTTTTCTGTTTGCGTTAAATTATGGCACGGACGATTTCACTGCTACCGATTAACGAGAATCGGTGAAATTTTGTAACGATTTTCTTAAATTGTCGTTGCTTATAATTGAAAATCTTTATAATAAGGAACGATGAAAATTTTTCTAAGATTTTTAACTAGGTAGATTAAAATTACATTAACAAGTTATGTGGTAACAGTGAAAGCGTAAAAGATAAATTCTCAATTTCCAAACCTCCGCGGTATCATGGAACTACAGTTACCGACTGATATATCGTTAGCTTCTTCTTTATCCTTGACTTCGAACTAGAAAAATGTCGTTCATAAACTAAATCGAAAATCAAACCGCATTAAGAGGAAGAAAAGAAGAAAAAAGTTATCATCGAACTTCATATATTATATATATTATATACATGTATACAACATAACTCGTATTAACATCTCAAAACTATTCGCTTATATTTTTCTTCGATGATAATAACTGTTTGTATCGTAGCGCACTGTGCATAATAATGATATCGATAATACCTGATGAATCACGCAATACCTGATGCGAAATATACATTATATACTTCGAAAAAACGAGGCGACAATAGATAGTTTCGAGATTGTAGCGACGCGAACGTGTTTGTGCATCGAAGAAACGTGTAATTCTTTCTATCGTTTATTGAGCGTGGACTTAATATAGTCAGGGAGGAGATGTAATAAAAAATGAACTTATATATAGATTATTATATATCTGTACTTTATTGTGTCTTTAGTAGACGTCTCTTGCGGCTACCGTTCATCGACCGATGGAACAATTACGTAAATAAATAAAACGGATAGCAAGTACAATGGTGCTTTGGTGAATTTTCATTCGTAAACGAGATCTACGCGCGTTACTGTCTGTTTCGGACAACTATTTTTCAATTTTTGACGATTGAATTTTACGTACCAGCTTTACGTAACGACTGCCACGACAATCGCGAACACCTGTTGCCACGACAGAGCGGAGAACAGTGAGTGCGCGCACCGTGTCGCCTACCATTTATAGGAGTGGGGAGTGTCCGTTATGCGCATGCGTGTCATCTTCCCCGCCACCATAAGACTTATTTAAGTACGGTTAACTTTCTTATTATATTAACGCGTTAAACTTTCCACCTACTATTTTACTCTTAACGCGTTAAAATAATTTCACGATTATTTTAATTTCTCAGATATTTTCTTTCTTTAAAATATTTCGCTGCAAAGCATAACATAATTCACGAGTATGGAACGAGAAGATACGTAATTGCTTTTATAAATTTATATATTATAAACGAGAAATGCATAACAATTTTTCAGACAGCAACCGATTCGTGTTGTTATCGTTTCTATATTTACAGAGGCGTATTTACACACGATTTTACTGACGACGCGTTTACATAAGAACCATGCAAGTATTTCCGGTTATCCAGAAAGTCGAGGAGCACACTGAAATACGATTGGTCTCTCCAAGAAGAGAGCGTAACGAGAAATAATGGAGATCTCTGGACATAAACACTCGTGTACACAAATTCTCTTTAAAGAAAAATTTGTTCGCTTCCTTTTTTTAAGTATAACTTTCCAGAGTACTTTTACGCGTATCCAGAGATCACCAACGAGATCTTTGGATGTACATAAGTAGACTTATAATGTTGACTGCCATTGTGAAAATTTATACATACATATATAGTAGAATACTAGAACAACAATTAATCACCATTTAATTACTCAATTTATAGTTTTAAAATTTTTAGCAAGCATAGTGCGCCGAATGTTTAAGTTACAGTGATATAAAGAGTTAATAATTTCTAAAATTTTTCTTCTTTCTTCGATAACTTGATTAAAGTGATTAAATTTTAACGACGGCGACATACATAGCAGTCAACGCAATATACCATAAGTGTATATTTAGATGTAACATATAAAGTTGTATAGTCAGGAATGGAATAAGTTTCGCTTACGGTAATATAAATTATGTGAGAGGGCGAGTGACGCGACAAGTACGCGAGTATACTACTATTTGTATATTACATCTTATCGACTAGTTAGCAACTAAGTGACTAGCAATCGAGGATCGAAAGACTCTTTTCGATCCTTCTTCGAACTTATTAGAACTTAATGATTAGTATTGACGGAACGTTGATAGAACAAGCACCAAAGTTGACGAGTAATTCTAAGAAATACAGAGTATTTAAAGACAGCAGATTCTTGCAAGACAAATGATATTACGATGTTGTTTTCATTCACACGTTGAACGTTTTTTTTCTTTAAATACTCTGTAGGTCTCTAACAAGGTCTCAACCAACAAGGTTCAACCGGAAGCGTACATTGAGGCTGCGTATTACAATGAATGATTTAGAATCATTCAGCCTATTTGTGATCCTCACAAGTGAATTGTTAAGACGAGGAACAGATTCCGCATTTTGAAAGGAATGTTCAGTCATCTATTCTCTTCAATTAGAAGAGGACAAGACTTTACTTTCTACTATCATCTTCGCCTATTCGATCAAAGGACCAAATCTAGGTTCGCCTTCAATTTCCTGAGGTTTAAAAGAAGTTCAGGATCCAATTTCTATAAACGCTCTCGGATCCGCTAAATTTTCACGACTTCGATGATGTCTAGTCTTGCGAGTCTCGACTCAAATTCGAAGCAAAGAATCTCTGGGGATCATCCTTCGTATCTTGTTCCATGAATTCTTCAACTAAGCGATCTTCTTCGAGTGCCAGTTAGAACAGGAGAAAACGCTTTCCTTTTAGTCCAGGTGGCTCGAGGGAATCGCTAGTATCTAGGAATACTTTCGGTCCTACTTTTTCAGCAACAAAAGAGAATCATCGTCCACCGTTTTAAATTCTTTCCAAAGATCTCAGCTCTTTGGACATAATCTCTGCTTCCGCGTCGTTCTCCAGGACCTCTTCTCCGTCGTTCATTCGGTCTTGAACATCGGGTTCGTTCACCAGGACGCTCTCTTCTCCAGTTTCCTGCGCGTCTTCCGGCGCGAGGAAGACGTTGGTCCTGCCCTTGCACTTCCTCTGGTAATCAGAATTATCGGGAGCCGGTCTGTGACAAGAATCGCAGACGGTGTCGGTGGTCGAGGTGCAAGGATGCGCTTCGTACAGTCCTGGACCGCATCTCGAGCAGATCCAACAGGGTTGAGTGCTATGATGAGGACTATAGGTGCCTGGTGCGCATTTTTCACACTCCGTATCGCGTCCACGGGTACAACGATTCACTACGCCCCATCCTGGACCGCACCTGCTGCAATGAGTGCCGCCTTTCTGGTGCCTGATGCGAGGTCTAGCTTCGCTCACCTGGAACAAGAGCAGATGCGCTTCATCAGAGGATGCGTGGATAGCTTTTACTGCTGCTTTTAGTTCATTTGCTATTTCAAGATTCCCGGAATTGTTGGGTCAATACTGGGTTCGGAAATGTAGTACGCAGAGGTGAAACATTAACGTGTCGACCCATTTCCTCTGACACAATCATAAAGATAGAGCATTTGATATTAGTCGAACGAATGACTTTACTACGAGATGAAAAATGTTTTAAAACGTTGTCAAAAGAGGATTAAACCCGCGTGGCAGGACCGTAAAAATCGTTTAGTTATCCTAATTAATGCAGTGGCTGAACGTGTGTCGCTTTGTATCTTGATCGTGGTCCACTGCGCGATGAAAGAAAGGTGCAAGGTGTTCACGCGGTCAGGTGTCTTTATCCTTTGGCACCTGTTCTTCGATTGTATGCCATGAATTTAGAACAAAATGGTTTCCAAGTTCCATAGCCACGTTTCGACTAACGTTACTTGTATCGATACAGAGTTTCAGTCAGAAAAAAAATTGTACTGCATTTCGTCGTAATAAGAACGTCGCAATTATTGTTGCAATATAAGAAAGCTACATCGAGGTACAAACTCATATCGGTGTACATTGTTTCGATTGACTATAATTTATCGAGTCATAATCGTTCGCGCTTTTCGAGATCAATAACAAAATTGAAGATCGTTATTGACGATGAAAAGAAGTTTTGATCGAGATCAAAGATGTGGTTTCATCGCTGCAGCTGGTAACAGCCGGCTACTGGCACGCGCCAACGGTCACTGGTGCATCAGGTGCATCATTGCACCGGGCCCTATTCGTTTGTGAAATCCTGTCCATCTTTTTCTCCCTCTCCTTCTCGCGCGTTTCTTTTATTGTTCTGTTTAACGCGATTCTTCATGGGCTACACGGATCAAGATTAATCCTTTGAAGTAGTAATTTATTTTAAGTAGGCACCCTAACAGGTAGAATTTGAATTTAACGATAGTTCAATTGTTAATGTTGCATTAATACGGAGTAAATAGAAAGATATATAAGAATAGCTTCTGATGATCATGCTATATACTTTTTAATAACTGTACATGTACAGTGTGCGAAGACACCTAACATGTACAGGCGTAAGTAGAAGCGTCATCGTATCGGTCCTGTAACACGAGCCAGGCTCCCCACGTAAGGATGCACCCTGTCAATTTACCAGCGAAACGAGTCCACTGAAAAGGGTTAATAATAGCATGCCCCTGTCCCCAGGATAAGTTATCTGACCACCTCATCATATGCATACGACATATGCCGGCACCCCCTTAATAAAGGAACTTAGAGGTCGATTTGTCCGGGAGTCAGCTGGCTACGCAAGCCTTTCTTCCTCATTGTTCGTATAATGTATGACCTACGTCTATATAGGTATCCGTTATGCGGAGATAATTGTGTTCGCAACCATATTTTAATGCGTTCTTTTTGGAAACCTTATGGAATTCCTATACATATAATACTCTCCACTTTTTAATTCAAATGTTCTACAGTTAAATTGTCCTAATGTAACAAATGTAATGCTGACGAATGCATTATTTTCGAAAAACACAAAACTCAAGAATTCTAAAGTTCTAAGACAATGAAAATAAAAAATAATGTTCAATTTCGTAACCGGTCAAGAGAACCGAGTAGAGGAGTTCTCAAGTTTAATCAATAACAAAAGGGTTTGCACGGGAAGCGAGGAAATTACATCCTTGAAAGGAGGAGTCGCAGCGGTTGGAAACGACCTTTAACAATTTCCGATCGTTTTTCCAAAGTAACCGCTCATCGTAAAACGTTGGTCGGAGTCATGGTGAAACGTGAACCCAGTAAATCCATGGAATTTGCGGCATGTCGGTAACGACCAGCTCGACTGACCAGGTTTCGAATGAACACGATGAAAATAAGGGAGAAGGTGCTTCTTTGAAAACTAACAGGACTGCTCGACTCGAATTTCAAGAGATAATAATGATCTTTCCAGCACCGAGGAGTCAAAGTCGAAAAGGACGATTTTAAAGGAAATTTCGAATGAAAATTATTCGACGCTGACAGCGTGGTTGACAATGAAAACTAAAAACGAGAGAAGAAAGGGTAGAGAGAGGATGATTTACGATCGGTCGTAGATCGGTAACAACAATGACGGAAGTAACGGCGCTCATAGTGACGAGTATGAATAGAACTTCCGGCAGGACGGGCGAAGCGGAAGTAGTAATTGCAGTGGCTTTTGTATCCTTCTTTCTTTTTTTTCTAACGCAGCTATTCCACTGGCGCGTCGATAAATTCCAATCGAAAATCATTCCTTCCTGGTCGACGACATAAAAGTTCTTTTTCCCTTTCAATTTTCTTTCCTATAAATTATTCGAATCGCTATCTTGCAATATTCTTATGCCATCTTTAATCATCGATTATTTTTCGAATATGAAATCTAAGCGATTGTTAATTGAAACAGACATTTTTGTTTTCGACTGCTATATTTAGCAATGACTCGGGCGGATGCTAAGCTGAAAACGGTGCACGTTTTAATCGATGCCCTTTGCTGCATTCATGCAACGACGTGCGAGCATCGCTCGATCTAAGAATAATGTTCGATACAGTTTCACTTCGTGAAATTCTCGTTTTAAAATCTCTTCAACGGGTATCGATAACGTATGAATTTCAGCTGGTCCAATTGAAAATTAAAAGCTTCTTTACTTCTTTTTTTATCGGTAATGAAAATAACGCCTGGTCGTTAAATAAAGTTTGTGACGAAACGACAGTTATAACGTATCGGGTTTTGATTCACCGTCCTTTTTTATTTGCCCCGATATTTCAGTTAAATTGCAAACTGCATTCACTGTATTTATGCAACGGCGCGTGCAGCGGTGAACCGTCCGACTTTTTGTCTCCACCTTCCTGTGTCATCGCTGGCTAAAAACAACGTGCAGGAAAATACAAGAATATTTTACCTTCCACGGCGAAACTACCTTTACCGTTATAAAAAAAAAATAATACATTTCAGAAACCGCGCAAATAGTTGCCAAAAACACTTAAACTACGTTGTTACGACAAAAGTTAATAATTAAATTTTACCGTTTACGTAAACCCATTATGAAAGTGGTAGAATGTAATTAAGCAAGGCAACTTTCTGCACATCCTACTGTTTCCTATTACGGTGTACCATACGAGTCACAAATCCGAGTAGAAGGGTTTAAGTGGAAGCTCGATACAGTAATATTTGCTATAAACAGCAATGATTAAACGAACACGAAACCGGTTAGAAAAATACATATGGGATCGGACGGTCGTCAGGTTGGTTGTGCAACGGTCAAAAGCCATGGGGGAAAGTTCAGTGTGCCGTGACAGCGTACTTTGGCTTCGCTGTCTCCTCGACGACCTTTTCTGTCCGCTTCCTCTTGAACACGTGCACGAGCTCGCAACCCTTTGACCACGTTTACGCCTCGTACGCTGGCATGGCCCGTTGCATAAATGCAACAGGCTACGACGGACAAGCGACGAGAAGTGGACGAAAACTTTCTGACGGTGTAAGGTTCACGCGACGCTACCGCTTTCGAGTCGGTGCATCTTTTATTTGTACATACGGAAACTCCTCAATTTCGGTGAAATTTATCGAGTCGAACGATTTATGGTCTCCGATAAGCGAATCTTCGAATATCAGATTTTATAATTTTCGAACTTTCTTCTTTTCTAGGGCAACTTCGACATCTAGCTTTGATTAGCGGTAATCTCCGAGTACATAGAGGTCTTACTTTTAGTCATATTCGCGCGAATTTCAGTTCTACAGAAATTTCCACTCGAAATTGCAAAAGTTAACCAAGCAAACATTTTCCGTTTTAGCAGGAAGACCCGACTGGTTTCGCCTCGCCTCGAGGGTGAAACGAATCGACGCAGCTGCGCCAGCAACGCTGATAATTATCTTCGCTCGCTGCCACCCCATTGTTCTTCGATCCGCCTCCCTATATCGTCCACCACGTTGCCCTTACTAGCTTACCCTTCTCCCTTCTGCTTTTCAGGGCCCTCGGGCCCCGAGTTCCACTCGGCCTGACTCCTACGCAGCTGTGCTTCGATGGAGTATCGAAAACGGGCCGTCATGAAACTGTTGCGATCTTCTTTGCGAAAAAATATGCCGGCTCCGCTTCGTTCAATGCTCGGGGCTGATCTTTCGAACGAACCTTAGATAGAATTTCTTTCGAGCGAATATTCGAGGTAAAACAATTTCGAACTTCGCGTGTTCGGTTTGTCGATTAAAGATGCTTGGTTGTTCGAGCGAAGCGGTGCGAAATTAAATTTGAACGCTTAGCGTGCTTTCCTTGATACGTTATAAAGATATTAAAGCACACCTCGTGCGTCTTCAATGTATATACGTTGTAATTTTATAAGTACCGAAAAGCGAATGGAAACCTCGAGTAGTTAGATTCTTCGCCAACCGTCCATACAAATCTATCATGAATCATGGTGTTCGTAAATAACCAAACAGGTTCCAAATACCTTTTTATTCCCTGTCCACCTATAAAGTTTCATTGAAATCGACGCAAACAACTCGCGTGGTTCCCTCGATAGAGAAATACGCGTAGGAAGAGAAAGAATAGGTAGCGAGAATTCGAAGCCGAACCTTTCTAGTCGAACACCTTAAACGAACAAGCTGTTCAACCTGCAAACGAATTCTTCCTCTCCAAGTTTCATATACACAGGAATTCCATACAGCCTACGCTTCGCTCCGGCAAACATAGACGTTTTCAATTAGGAATATAAGTCTATAAAAATCTTGACAATTCTTTTCAACGTTCGTTCAAGTTCAATGCAAGATATTTTCACTTTTTTCGATGTTAAAAAAAGAAATTAGCTACATTTCTGACGATGTTTTTCATAACACCATAAGTGAAACGAAAAAGCCGAGTCTTTATAAACGGATATTTAATTTGAAAAGATTTTTTTTAAATGAAACGTCGACTCGTCGCTGAAAGGAAGAAGCGAAACTGGGTCTGTGTATCAAGATAAGATTAAAACATATTTTTAATTAAACAAATTCCTTGAATCCGCCTAGCCGTGTTTTCATCGCCGACAACGAGAACAGAGTCGAGAGGGCAGAAATAAATAAGGCCACTAAACCGATTGCTTTTCCACGGTTCGCGTAAGAGACGAACACGTACAGAAAAAAGAAAAAGGAAAAGGGGAAAATTGAAATCCGGGTTAGTTATTTCGAAAAGACGCACACATAGCTTGCCGCGTTTCATCGCGAAAAAGCAGACGTCACAGAAAATCATAACGACACTCGACGCGTTGCCCGGGCAACGCTTGAAAAAGTCGCTTTTGCAAATCGCTTAAGCGTGCCAGAGCTCGCTAACGAGCTACCCGAAATTAATGACTAACCTTAAGACGTTAGCGTCAGAGATAAGACTCCTGCTTAAACGTCGTCCTTTTGTTTTTAAAATAATGAATAACCAATGGCAATTTTGCATCTGAACCGATGCTATTTAATGAGATGTTCAACTACCACTATAAACCACTAATTAAAAAGACTATGAAACCTAATCGACAATCGAATAACTAAAGAAGGAAATTCGATCGCGAATAAATCTGTCGCAACGTTCAACCGTGTTCGATATAACCTCCTGTCTCGAATCAATAAATTTGCTTCAGAATCCATCGAGAATACCATTGTTCTCTCCGCGTACGTAGCCGCATAAAAATTAATGAATCGAGCAGACGGTAGACCGACATCGGCCTCTAAAGAACATCAATATCCATGGCAATTTCAATTCCCCTGCAACAGGGAGCTTTGTCTCGCGAAAGTAAAATTAAACGCTCCCATTCTGGGAATATGTTCGAAACCGGAAGAGGGCTATCCCCGAAGACCGAAGACGAGGTTCTCTCGAGGCAGAAGAGCGTAGGTTGCAGGTTGACGATGCGTGGGTAGAGTCGAGGGTCGGGCATGGTTCGCGAAAACCGACGGAACTAGCAACTCTGTCGGTTCCCATGGCATGCTAATGAGCCTCGTAAACCACCAAATACCCCAATGAACCGAATACGATCGCTGACAACATCTTCTGTTGAAACGGTGGCCAACTAGTGAACGTGAAACAGCAACTTCTAGGAATTTTCTTGCGCTAGGCTTTCATCGTTACAGACACAAGAATCCTCGGCTATTTTCTCTGATTTATTGCGTTCATTGACAACATCTTTCTTAGATTTGCGAATATACTGAATATATCATTTATCTTGACTTTTTAATACGTTAAAAAGAATTCATCAATTAAAATCGACGCGATTATGAAATCTCTAAAATATTAAGTTTAAGTAGAATTATGTACGAGGGAACAATAGATTCATACGTCGACGATGCCAAACGGTAAGATATCTCTTCGTGAAACAGTTATTGTCGTCTCTCTGACGCTATTCGAGTCACTGCATTAAATCAAGTGGCGAGCGAGAGTCTCCTCTCGAGTGGAAAGGGTTGTAATGGCTTACGAATGGAGTTAAACATTCAAGGAAATATGAATCCCAAAAACAAATATGCATTAAATTAACTTGTTTTTGTAGCAAACTGACTTCTATATTTTATAATGGAATTTTAATGTTTAATAACTCAGACGGTAAAGTTTTACCCTGCAACACAAGTTAAACACGAGCCCAGTTATTCCGCAGAGCGTTAAAAAGGAAAAGAAGTCGTCAGAAAATATCAGAAAAATCGTTGAAACAACATTGGTTAAGAAACGTCCAGAGTATCAAAGGTACTAGGCTCCTGTTGTTAAAAATTTTAAGCAAACCACAGCGACTCGATCTTTATTGCATATCCTCAACGTTCGCGAAATCCCTTTGGTAGTTCGATCTCTCTCTGTCCGACTACCTTCTTTCGCCGTCCTTTTGAATTTTCCAACCTCTTTATTAATCGATTTCCCTGTGCTTTTCGCGAATGTATACGTTAGCGATGCGCTTTGTGCATATACCCAAGAGCTTCCCGCTAAAATCCTTAAATATTCGATGGACCAACGAAATTTAACGCGAAACGCGTTCAAGAAGCTTTCAAAGTCGTGAAAGGAGAGCCGTTTATTGCATTACGAGAAGTAGGTTACTTCGAGAAATGCAGTGATGTGTCGCATCCACGAAAGTAAACGCGTTTCGCCGTTTGGTTTGCCCCGTTGATTTATTAACGCGCCGACGATGGCCAGGTGGTCACCACTGACCGCTGCTACGAATTCCATTTAATCGGCTAATTGTAAAACGGCAAAGTTAACACCGCGGCTCTGGATAGTGTCGATGCTTCTGTATTACGCGAGGATCGCATTGTCGCTCATCAAATTGGTTTCGTAACGTCAAATAGAGAAATGGGGAAGAGCACTTACGACACATCGATTCACGGTTCAAAGTTCAAAGAGAGTAATAAGTCCGTCATTGAACTCATCCGACAGGAGAATCCCAAAATACTACAGATTTATCGAAACGTTTACCGTGCTAAATCGTGCTAACCTTTCCATGTATATCTCTAAACCAGATATTTAGCGCGAAACAAAGGAAAAGCTTGAAATAAAAATTGAGAGGGAAGGTAAGTTATAGTTATCTTCGTATAATATCTAAGTTTAAAACGCTTTCCACGATGTTCAGTCGTCGATTCCTTGTCCGTGTATCGACTCCGCCTTTAACTCGCGTGCAAGTGGACAGTGACAGTACTTCGCACTTTGTTAGCACGCGCGAGAATAGCTACCAACACGAAGAGGAAACGAGCTTTCTCAGGAACAACGGAGCCTTTTGTCAGCTCCCACGACTATCTTTGCCTATCTTACACTTTTCACCGATGCCTGATCTTTCCGACTCGATTCCCTTTTCCACGGTAATCCCTTTTACATTTTATTTCCTTACCTTTCCCTCCTCTGTCTTGTCTTTTAAACTTTTAATCTTTTTACTTTCGTTTCTGCGCGGAGGAATGTTACTTTTTCTTTCGCCGACGCACGAATCATCCGTTCGAACTTATTTTGTTTTTCTAAAGAAACTGTGAACTTTTCATTTGCCAAACATTCTTTAAATATACATACAGAATTAATAAACTGCACGAAATGTAACTGAAGTTTGCAGTATGGTATCACGAGTTTGCTCTTGTACGTTATGGTTTGTAATCCTGAGTTTAATGTAAGTAGAAAATGAAGTATACCTCTGGCTTTACATTTTCGTGTAGCTTTAAAAAAAGAAGAGCTTCGCAGTCACACTATTGTAGTCCGTTGTTTACATCCGTTCATCTACCTAGAGACTTCATTCTTCGCCGTCTTTTGATCCTTTGCTGCGTGTTGTTCTTGTAATATTCTATTCCGTTTCCGTGCAACTCCTTTTATTCTATCCCCTGAACTCTTTTAGACACGGTTGTTGTTGCACTCGGTTTCCACTTTTCTCTGGCTTATCCCGTCCGCGTTCGCCTCTTCCGTTCCTTCGTAGCCTTTCTTTCACCCTTCTGTCTCGTTTTCGCGAACTTTCATTAATTTCCCTGCCTCGACCCTCAACATTATCTCCATTGTACGTCGACCTTTTGGCCTGGATCCTAATGCATGCGCATACACTACCGTTCAAAAGTCTTGGAACACCTGTCGTATTTAACGAATGAACGAGGAAGTTGAGTCAATCGTGACCCACGAATATTAAAACGTGGTGTACCACTCCCTTTCCATTATTAAGTGTTCAAATGTTTACAGCTTCGTCTATCGATCATATACGGTAGAAAAGTATATTTCGAATTAAAAGTGGTAGAGGCGCTGATGAATAAACGCGACAGACGATGAGATCGACGAGAAGATTTAAACGTACTATTATTTTCTCTGATAACGAAATCTTACCGTCAGCTCTAATTATCACGACGGTCGGTGCAGCAAAAATTATCCAATGCTAATAGATAAAATCGGTTCCCACACACGGCACGGGAACCGCGCTTTGAAGACGGAAAAGGGAATGCGAGCGAAAAAACCGGCAGGAAGAGAGCCCTTTATTTCAGATCTTTGTGTACGCGGCGTTGGTAATACTTAATTGCTACCAAACTGCAACGTTATCTCCTTAAAGCAAACTAAAAGTTTTAAGCAAACTGAAGTATATATTTTTTTTCGTAAATGTTAGAGATCTTTAAGTAAAGAAGTAAAGATTGAAATCATGAACGCAAACTTGAATGTCTTGTCTCTAGAGAGGACCATAGTACGTTTTGCAATTACGGAAATTATTCTTGATTCTATTCGCATACTGCGTCAGAACAATTGTGCAGCTTTCTCGTACAAGTTGTGTATTATTTTATAATAAACGAAATGAAAAGGATACGAAAGAAACCAAACTAGCGACCTGAATTACAGCAGGATACTTTTTCCACTTCTCGTAATTACCAGGGGTATCGGGCAAATTGCGATTGCTTAAAAGCTAAAAGGAGCGAGATACTGGCAGCGTTTTTATTCGTCTGCTCTTCTGTTTCGAACCGATAATCTAGCTTGGGATTAGCCGAAGGAAAGAGATCTTTTCTCTCTGGATTCAAACGCGATACCGCAATGTTTCTTCCTCGATTTCGTTGAAATATTTACAATCGGTAGGACGTAATTGTTAAGAATTATCGTTTCCTCCGTAAGATCACCGCGATCTTCCTTACGCAATTCATCCTTCTTTCGATCGTATAATACATTGTATCCGTTCGTACACGACTAATTTTGAAAATTGCGATAAATGGTCAAAGTCAGTACCTCAAGTTACTTAAACAGTCAGTACAAATTGAAATTTTTAATTCTACAAATATTTAAAAATCGGTGCTGTACTAGGAAAATGAATACAAATGAACCTCTACCGTAAATGCAGTAACAAAATGCGATATAAATTTTTCTTACCTCAAAAAGAGCGATCATACAGCAAACGCCAAGGGCGATAACGATTAATCCTCGTCCAGGAAGCATTTCTCCTTTTATCTTCTTTCGTTATTTCACGTTGATGCAGACGCTTGGTTGCTTCGGCTTACAACATCCCACGTAAACGTTCGCAGGTGCACATCGATCACGAATCGATAATACGGTTCAAAGACGATTTGCAAAGTTCACGAACCGACACGATGCCGTCACGTAATTTCTTCGATTCGATCCGATTCGATTGAACAGCGCTGACCGTCACTGATCGAACGTTGCCGATCGCGATTAATCGGTGCAGAGTCGAACGAATAGATTAGCACAATGTCGATGAACTGTAATCGGTTCCCTTTATAAGTATCAAGATTTTAGTTTCGAAAGAGCGGAGGGGTCACACCGACTTGCTTCGACGGAGGCTGAGCGTGAATTGAGGGAAGAGCAACAGTGCAGCAGCTGTTATTGTTGAACACGCGCTCGGTCACGTGGTTTACCACCACCATTCCTCTCAAAGGACCATACAGAGCGAGTGGTCATCCTTCACTGAAAAGGGTTCTATCAAATTTTTTAATGGTCAATGACCGATACAATTTCGAGCCATTTTTTACGCTGTAATTAGGTAACTTTGTTATTGGTACTTTACTCTCGATTGCTTTCCTGCAAGATGCAGCTTTCCAGTAAACTGGGAAGTTCAAGTGAAAAGGAATAAATTTTATTCTGACATTAAATTTGATACAGAATAATATTGTTATATTTCCAAATTTGTAAATCTCCGATACATAACACAAGTACAGTTGTTTCTAACAAACAGATAGTTTGACCATTGTTGTGACACCTACCGCAATTGTTTATTGCAGGTATAGTGCATGGACTACTTAAAATACGATGCGTCGAAAAGTTTCCAGATCACCGATCGAGAAACTCGAAACCAACCTGCACGTTCCGCAGCTTCGCAAAAAACTCTGGATTTTTAAAGAAGTGTTTCGGAAACATGAAGCTGCCACGCGCCACAAGTTTACATCGCGTGTGTGACGCGTTCCGTGTAATCAATGATGCACGTTATCATGCATAATTTACGAATCTTGCTTACGTCTTTCATTACTAAAAACTCTGTTTCCAATTTCGATAAGCGTTTTATTAGTAGAGGAAAAAACTGTAGGTTATCAGATTTAACGAAATTAGCAAAATTATAATCTTATGACACCTACAATATGTTGTCCCATTCTTTATACCCTAATCGTATAATTTTGTAAATATTTCGTATTTCTTCTGTCAGTAAGCATTGACAAATTCTTTTTCATCCAAAGTGCTATCGTTAGCTCCCTGCGGCACACAAGCGGCCGTATGCCTTAGATTAGTTGCGTTCCATTAGGCCTGGATTCAAGAAACGCATACCACCTAGAAGGGAATGTTAGGCATTCGACCACCTAACGAACGAAATATAATCCATAGATAATATGTAGCGTGCAATCGATTGGCAGATTTAAAAATCTGTAGACTGCGAGACAGCCGGTCGAGAAATTCGAGAGGAAAACGCGCACGGTCCACGGATCGAAAGTGGACTCCTCCCGATCTATACATATATCGTCCACATCTCGTATGAAAGCGATCGGTTACCTCAGCTGCGGTAGCAGCTGACGAGCCTTCTGCCGTGCCACCTTCGCCACCGGTAGATATTTTCTGTAGGACAGGTGCTTACAATCTGCCCATGCGACAGCCGGCTTTCGTGACGATTCGTTGCTACGCCCGAAACATCGTCCGAATCGTTTCGATCGATATGGACCAATCGTATCGTGATGCGACTCTTCTTAGTAATAACTCCGACCAACAATGTACGATTTTTGGTAAACCCGAAAGAGTATGCCTTTTGTGTTCTACGTTGTAAGTCTAATACTTGATCCAAGTAACTTATTGTTATATTAATTACGAGTAGGAAATCTACGAGTCAGTCTAAGTAAAAGTAATAATATCGAAGAGAAACGGGAAAACGAATATTACGAAAGAGGCAGTATAGCTGCTAATTCCACGATCCCTGTAGACTGTAGATAGTAGAACGAAGACCGACTGTTTCCCATACATAAATAACGCCTCGCCTACACCCACCGTATCCTATGCTCCCATTATATCGTATTATATCAACTACCCATTATCCGAGCGGTTTTCTTGTTGCTTCATCTCTTCTCGAGATACGTTGGTTATACCAGATATTAAAGGGGATTTCGATAAAAGTCGTAACAGATTATTCATGAACGAAGAAAGATTAAAAATGCACCGGCAAAACATTTTCCGGTCTATCAAGCTCTGTCGTTTCAATATTGATACGTTTGCTTTTTATCAGAAAGCTATTGCGTATGTTCCGTAAAGAAAAGTTACAATCTCTCTGGCTCGTATCGATGAAAATAGGCTAATCTTATTCTTACGCAACTTCTTAATTATTAATTTAACATTCATTATTCCCTAAATGTTGACTTTATTCAAGAATTTCCAGTTACGCGCTGGCATATTATTTTGCCGAATTATGGTAATTTTACTGCCCATAAATACATAACAAGATAATGTAAGCTTAACGTGACAAGTTCTTTAGAAACCATAGTATTTTTACTAGCGAAGGAAGATAGAAACAAGAGCTCCATCTGTCAAACACGAAGCAATAAATGACTTCTCGGAAGGAAGTAAGGAACCGGAAATGGAGACTCGAACTTGGCCCCTTTTTCTTCGTTCACGGCACCGTGAACGATCGCACGAATTAACATTTTGATTCCGGGAGTCGTAGGGTCGTTTTAATTTATAATTGAGACCCCGAGCTAATTGCAGTCAAGCGCAGGTCTATAGCCGCAATGTCGAATAATTAACGGATCCTCCGTGTTGCGCACCGACGTATTGAACAGAGTATAATAACCAGTGAACTGCAATTATGTTATACGATTTCCGATTTAATCGTCCAACGATCCTATCTCGATTCTTGAAACCTTCGTGTAATCCTTTGCTACGTCGAAGAAAAATCTGTCGATAAAAACTATGAACAAATGGGTACATTTTTATATTTCGTAAATATATAAACACTGTTGTTCAAGTGAATTCAGAAACTTAAATAGTTACTTGCTACAAGTATAATGTGTCGCAAACGCTTATGAGCCTTTAGACGATTTGTGATACGTACAATTAAAAAAGCACTAAATAGATAATGTTAAATGACGAAAGAAATAATTAAAATGTTTTTTTACTTCGTCAGTTTAGTCTGGAAATCAAGGAATCGTGTTACTAAAAAGTAATTAATTTAATAATCAGGAAATAGAGCGCGAGCTATATTTTTGAATTAGGTTTGCTTAACAATTTTTTTCAATTGCAATGACATTCCCTATATTACCGACAAAGAACAGTAAACGAGTGAACTGAGTGCACATCAACAGAAATGATAAAGTAGGAAATTACATGCAAAACCTGTAGGGAAAACCATTCTCTAGTGTTCTATTCTATGCTTCGCCTGTAGTATTTCTTCGAATCATGTTCAAATGAGGTAACTAGGTCTGTTTGATTGAGGCGCTCTGCGCCTAACCTAACAATGTTGAGCGAGCGAGTAAATTTCACGATAAAACAAAAATAGTCAACCGTGTCATTCAGTTGAATTGGTTGAGTGGTGCAAGAGAAAAACGTGGACAAAAAAGTCGAAAAGTCAAGTACATAAGCGCGAGCAAATTCAATTTTGCATTAAAGTCTACGGGGATATGGTTTTCCGGTAATTATTCCTCCGTAGCATGCGTGGGCGGCGCGCAGGAGGAATATACACGATAATGAGCATGCAAAATCGTTAATTACTCACTTTCTGAGCACAGTCTATGAACTTTTACGATTAAAGAATGATCAACAATGTATTATTTACATGGTTCGATCATGAAAGTTCATAAATAATGTTCGGGTAATGAGTAATTAATTATTTTGTGTCAGCATTACGATACGAACATGAGCCGTCTATTTTAATTCTACTGCGCATGTAAAGTGCATTATTTCGGCACTTTGACGACGTAGTATGGTTCCTGAGGCATTTAGAAACAAATTTCTATTAGGGTTTGATGCGTTTTGATGCCTTATAAAGCCAGAAAATCAATTTTTGTCGAACTCGGTCGAAAACGGTACAGGTGGCGCCATCTAGCGGCGAGCGGCGGAAATACGAAAAACTAAAATTTCGATTTTCTCGAAAACTAGGAACTTTTCCGAAAATCTGAGATATACAAATTGTTCCTTGTC